TCAATCATAACTTAATTCTCGATACCTTTGTTAATTAATCCAGTTTACCTTGTAAATCCAACAAATGCAATATAGGTTTAAAAAAAAACATCATGAAATCATCCAATTGAGATCTAAGTAACAATAATAACAAACAAAAAATACATTTTTATTGTTGTTTCGCAATTACGAATTTCCATAAATTAATATAGACGTGAACGTAAAATAATAATGCAAGGCATCTAATTACGAGAGATCTTTGAACTTATACATATTAATGAGAGCAGTTTAATTGCACAATCGCAATGCTAATCGTTCCGTTCGCACAAACAACAATGCATCTGCGGTAAATTAAAAGTAGTATATTTACTTACTTTGCAGAAGGAAAATAAATATTGTTATGTTTATTATTTTTTTGTTGCTTTGAGCTACACAGCAAATTGAGATTATTACTTGGCAATAACAAGACGTCAATTGAGTCTTATTATCAGCAAATGTTTAGTAAACAGTCGGAAATTTGATAGAGATGTATATGTTCGGACAGGACTCGCTAATCATCGGAGCAATGCTAATATGTTTGGTTGGCTTTTGTATATACTTTGAGGAAGGTTTTCGTATAAATCATTCTATTTTGGCCGAATCTTGGAAGCAATAAATATCCAATTGATTTATGGATATTAGTTATACACATATTTTTTTTCTGGTGTGTACGTTGAAAATATGCGAGTGGTTATTTTCAATCGATTTTATAAATATCGGAAGGATTTTTTTCTAAATTTTGTCGCCCCACGTTAGGAGCCGAATATTTTAACTGCTGTAAATTTCCACTTGAATTAAGAACGAGCCACAATGTGTTATGAATATGTTCGATAAACAAAAGTAATGCAAACATTCGATAGATTAAATTAAATTTTGTTTACTTTTGGTATGATTTCTGCAAATGTTTTTTGTTTATATAACTTTCTTTTTATTTTGTTACGGTTCGCTTCACGCTGAGTGCTAATTATTACGGAAAATTTCATTTTGTTTCCTAGTTTAATGAAAATCAATTATTTTTCCCATTATTAAATTATGTTAAATATTTTTGTCTTAAGAATGTTTTTATATACAAATGTATTCTAGTAAATTGCTTAAATAACGTTTTTTGCAATAGTCACAAAAATTAGTTAGAAAAAATAAATATGTAGTTATAATTCAAAACAACAAACAAAAACCGTTAAGTCTAAAACCAAGAAAATTAATGATTACTTCTTAAAATATCATCTTTTCAGAGAAATGTATTATAGATTTTTCAATGAAATTAAGAAAATACTAAAGATTACTGCAAAAAGTTAAGAAAAAATATTTGATTTAAATTTAATTCGAATTGCATTATGCAAAGTTTTTGAAAAGTTGATCTTTTTTTCTGACTTGAATCCAGTTTTGTTATTCAGGACCTTAAGTATGTATCGTAGACAGATCCTTGAACGGTTGTCAGATGATTCTTCCTCGGAATAAGAATATGCTATGAACATGATTAAAATTCTACCTGTACACCTGTCTTGTATACACTCGTATATATAGAGAGATTGAAAAGCAGAAAGATACGTAAAATTAATCATTTAAAATTCTTGGAAGTGTTCAGTACATTAAACAACAACAACAAAAAATAATGAATCCAATATCCCAAGGCGTCTGCGATATTGATACTAATATATAAAACGCTCACGAAACCATATGGGATGTAGTAATAATCTTCGTGCGAACAAAGAGAAGTTTTTTGGACGTAAAGTAGGAAAAAGCAAATTATCTTTTTGTTAAAGCTTTCATTACTTTTGTTTTAATGGATAAATGTTTGAAGCGTTTCCTACGTAAAAAACGCGAGCGTTTGATGCGATAAATGTTAACTAAATAGTGCCAACTGCAGCCTCACAAACAATGCGTTACAAAAGCGACTGAAAGATAATGTTTCATTATAATATATAGTGTTTGCTTAACGTTAAGATAATCCTTTTGTTTAATTACAACGAAACACTGCTTCTGTTCGCGCGTTTAATTCAACAGTCAAGTTTCAGAGAATTGTAATTAATCAACTTCAAAATATTTCATTTATTTACTTCGTATCATTCTTTCGTCCTTGACGCTCTGAAACACTTTTGATATAAATCTCTTCGTTTTTTTTTACTGTAATTAGCAGAGCGGACCCGTTTTGGTGGATTCGTTTATTGCATTCTCCTCGTTTTGGCATATTTCTCTTCTTAATTGAATTTTTGACGGGCCAGATGTGATTTAAGAGAGAAGTTGCGAAACTCGTAAATTTTATTTGCCACACTCGGTTAAATTTATAGAATTTAATATACACTTGTATATAAAAAGAAAACAAATCGTTTCTTATGTAATCGTTGTTTAATGTGACTTTCGAGTGCCAAAATGCAGGCAGACGTTGATGTTTCGCAATCGGAGTTTCATTTGACAACAACGTTAGAAGCATATTTCGAGTCACGTGTCTCAGTTTTATTGCACATGTTACTCACACGTTTTCAAATGTCAAATAGTTTTTGGGATTTAGAAAATAGTTTTTTTTTATACATATTCATTCTTCTCGTTTACTACTAAATTTTTAAGTCGTGAATCAAAGAAAACGTATTTCAAGAAGATCTTATAGGAATTGTATCAACAATAACAAAGGTACCAATATTAATCGAATTTAAACAAAATTTGTTTATTGAAACAACGTATTTTTTTTTATCGATTACGTTCATTGTTATTCTTTGTTTATAAACAATGTGTATTGTTATTCATCGACTATTAATTTTATCAATAATCAATACTTTTTTATTGACAGCAATACTCATTTTTACTTTCATTTTATTATAATCTATATTATTACAAATTTAGAAGTAAATATTTCATTGATTCTAAAAATAAATTTTAAAGTTTCAATTAAATGAAATTAATTATTTTAAAATTACGAAAATAATAAATCGAACGTTAATTTTGAAGCTTTGACATTTCTGTTTTGATATTTGACAAGTTTTTACGTCTTGGTTTCATTTTAGTTTGATATTTTCCTAATATATAAATGTATCACAATGTGCAGAATTGTTATCACCAAGAAATAAAATTGTAAACAAATTAATTACATTCCTTAAAATGTAAAAATTTTAAAGCTTTGACATTTCCGTTTTGACATTTGACAAGTTTTTACGTCGTTGACAGCAATACTCTTGATTTTATTTTAGTTTAATATTTGCATTTACATGCAAATTTATATTAATTAACATCACAATGTGCAGAATTGTTAACACCAATAATTTAAATCGATGGAAAAATTTGATTTAAAAAAATAAAATTGTAATTAAATTAATTACATTCTTTACAATTTAAAAATTTAATGAAATGAAAAGATCTCAAGTTAAATAACAAAAGTCAAACTGTCTTTTTTTATTACGGAAATAATAAATTGGAAATGTGAAAAGTATCCAAAGTTTTAAAGCTTTGACATTTCCGTTTTGATATTTGACAAGTTTTTACGTCGTTGACAGCAAAACACTCTTAATTTCATTTTTGTTTGATATTTTTATATACATGTAAATTTATATTAATTAATATCATAATGTGCAGAATTCTTAACACCAATAATTTAAATCGATGGAAAAATTTGATTTTAAAAAATTAATTACATTCTTTACAATTTAAAAAATTAATGAAATGAAACGATCTCAAGTAAAATAAAAAATGTCAAACTGTCATTTTTTTTTAATTACGAAAATAATAAATTGGAAATGTGAAAAGCATCCAAAATTTTAAAACTTTGACATTTCTGTTTTGACATTTGACAAGTTTTTACGTCATTGACAGTAATACACTTAATTTCATTTAGTTTTGATATTTTTATTTATATGTAAATTTATGTTAATTAATATCGTAATGTGCAGAATTGTTATCACCCAGAAATGAAAAAATTGACTTAAAACAATTAAATTGTAAGCGAATTAATTCTTTACAATTTAAAAATGTAATGAAAAGTCAAACTGTCATTTAACTGTCATCATGACAGTTTAATCTAATTATATGAACTCTTTGCTGTATAAACTAAGTGTTATGAAAAATGAAATAAAATAAAATTTCGAAACAAGAATGTTTTGCAAATTTAATTTGAACAAAAAATGAATGAATGATCACGATGATTTATGCACGTAAAATACGATTTGTATTTAGATAAAACGTGAATATAAAGGTTAAATATTAAAGTAGACATGATTCAAGTCACGTAGCAAGAAACAATTGTTTAATTTAACACTGTCTTTTCGCACGAACGAACAAAACTACAAATATTGCAAACAAGAAAAAAAATATGTCAAGATGTTTCGTGATTATACACAATCATTGGATATTCTTAGAAGATTGATTTACGCATTGAAAGTTGCGAATGCTAATAACATGTTCGTTTTTTTTTTACTGTAATGTGAAAATCTGTTGAGAAAGAATAATACAGAAGTCGCGTGAGCACGCGACTTCTGTCACAGGCAATTTCTGCATTACCACCGTCTTTGCTATCCTCCGTTTCATTTATTTTGCCATTCATCGATTGCATAATTAATTTACATATGTAAATAAGCGCGGCGGAGTTGTGAAATAACTCTTTTGTTCTACATCGTTTCGTCTCTTTCTCTTCGCGTTGCTTTAATTTCGACCCAATGATTCATTCGCACTTATTAATTATTTGCATAGTTCCAACTGCGAAATAATAAAGTTTGCGGTTGCCGTGCGCGTATTTAAATCTTATTATTAATTGCTGCTACTGCTCAATTCTTTGGCGCTATAACTAATCTTCGTTTCGTTTGCAAAATAAACTTGTTGATAAATATTTTTACGAATTTACCAATATTATTTATTTGTCTCTCTGAATCACAATTAACATTGCTTTAATTATGTGTTTTTCGATTATTATTTTTTGCTATTAATTTATGCATGGTTTTAATTTTTTTTTGTTTTTCTCTTTTTTTTTTCGTTTTTGTTCGTGGTTGATGCATGGTTAGGGCACGAAGAGCATCCCAAGATGTCGGTACAGTCACTAAACATAGCGAACATTTCCCATGGACGAGGTAAGGTTTTTTTTTATTATTATTTTCGCTTTCAATTTTCGTAACAATGATACTACTAACAAGATTATTGTTTATTTTTATTTATTTATGTGTTAACCTTAAAGTGGATTGTGTTTTACCTTGGAACAGTTTTTTTTTAGTATTATTATTATTTAGTTTGGACGTATTCAATTTGCGATGATTTACATATGAATTGAATTGATTGATCTTATGATAATAGCTTTTGAAATATTGCGTGTGTTTTTTTTTCTGCCGGATTTGAATTAATGCAGTGACAGAAATGTGAAACACCTGAGTGCTAAAGTGTTTTGAGTTATCTAATGAAAAACAGCACGTAATTTATGGGTTGTTCTCGAAAAACCTTACTCGAAATAGAATTCGCTATTTAAAGATTTAAAGAAAGTCACTGTTTTGTTTATACTTTCATTAATCATTTTTTTCCTTTCTTCGTTGTAATTTATTTTAACAACAGATTCAAATCATGAATATTAATTTGTTTAGCAGAAAAAATATGAAACAACACTTAATTACAAATGTATACTTGCTTAATATTCAGAAAATTATCTTGTGGAATTCTTATTAACAATTTGTTTTTGTTACCCAATTATCAGGTGTTAATTAAATCTTAGTAGTAGATCAACTATGTTTACAATATTAAATTGTTGTCAAGTAGATTTATAGATAAATCATTGAAGTGTCTCAACTGTATTTTTATATGTTTATATTTACAATTATAAAAAAACGTTTTTAGTTCGAAATCCTTAAACAATTTAAAAGCAACTTTTTTGAGGGTTTTTGTGAATTATAATATTTTTTATGGATACAAACATGATGAGCGGAAGCGGGTGAATTCCAATATTCTCTTCTTCATTATCGCCAAGAATTTACTTTTACCCCATTTGGGGTAATTTACCCCCTGTTTTTAATTAAATTATTGCATGGATAATGTTGTAATGATTTTATACATCGATAATCCATTTTTTAACTGTACTTTATAGTTTGTAGTTAACATTAGTTCTGTTTTTTTACCATCTTCATAACAGATGAAAGAGAAAGAACAAAACATAATTTAGTGAATATTAATAATATGAAACTTTAAAGAATATGAGTAGAACACAGTTTTATGACTTTATAGTTTATTTATAGTGTCGTTCAATTTCATCAAAACACCGCATAGTGCGATTTTCTATAGAATATTTCAAAACAAACTTAAATTTTCATTTATTCTAAAAAAAAAATAGTACACAAAATTATTTTTTGATCGGTTTTTCTTCCTCAACAGTCAAGTTTCTTTTTATATGGTTTTAAAGTCCTCGATTAGTTCGGTTTCAAACAGTGAGAGATATTGGATGAACCCGCACTATGCGAGGTATTACACCATGAAACGAATAAAAATCTATATATAAATTAATTTATTTCCTTCACTTTCATTCCTGCTATCATCGAAAAATCTTATGATATAAACACGTAATTGTTATTATCTTCGTTTTAATTGGTCAGGAAATATTCCGTGCTCCAAAGACATATCAATTAAATACGTTAACGCAGGACTAATAATAGAATACACACTTTCATTATAGAAACGAAAGCTATCCGGTCAAGAAATGTTGTTTTTTTTTTCTATAGTAATTGAATAGAAATACATTTTCACGTTTGCGAGAATCTATTTATAACATGGATTGTTTTTAAACATGATCTCAAGCACTGCAGCAAATTTTCAATCCATTTATATTTTGATTTACTCAATTCGATTCGTTTCTTAATTGAAGATTTTATCAGTTCGTTCTTGAACAACTTTCGCTGTTTTCAATTGTAACATTAAAAAAAAACTCATTCAAGTGTTTTATTTTGGCAAATCTCCAGTATTCTTAAATATTAGTTTACACGTGTTATTTTTTATAGATAGATAAACAAGTTGTACAACATAGTTGATCTTAGTGATGACATCTTAATATTAATTTTTCATTTAGTTTTTTTTTTGTTTTCACTACTTTTTAAACAGTTTTATACATATTTTTCAAAGAATTTATTAATAGCATTAGTACCTGTTGTTGTTAGAAGCTTTATTTCATAAGTGTACATGGACAAAATCAAACATTTTCTTACAGATTTTTTAAAAATAACGATATTGAATATGTTCAAAGTTGAAATCTTGAATTTCTTTTAATTAACTAAAGTTCCAAGGTAAATCAATCAAGTATACTATGCTTAAATTACGTCTACACGAAGAATAATTGTAGATAACTTAAGAATTTTACCTAATTGCAATTTTTTCTTTTAGGAGTAAGAGCAGGAGCGTGGACCACGGAATCACCACTCCGTTCGATCTGGAAGCGCTGAGAGCCAAAGTGGAAGATCAGGTCGACAAGCATCTCGACAGAGGTGAGTTTATCCTTCGTTTTGCAAAGATTATTAACTTCTTCGGATTATTCATCATCTCCGGTTCTGTGTTTGCTTCCTTTCGTTTCCGCGCCGCGAATGCTCGGCGGAGCGCGACCGGAAACGGCCAACCTTTCTACGCGGAGCTCGCATTTTCTAAGTTTTCTTTTGATACTTAATTGCTGGACGCGATAATAATTGTTTGATGAGCGCATAAAAATGCATTTGGAAAGTATGCACATTTTATTGAGCAACTTTCATAGACAATCGGAGAAAATACATAATGGTTTTTCCTTTTTCCTTCTGCAATTGTGTGTGGACAGCAAATTAGTGAACTACACTTATTTTTTTTTTCTTTCTATCGTTTATAAATGAAAGTATGTTACATTCCGTTATATAAACAATATGAAATTAACACTTTTCTAAAGAAAAATCAACAGTCATTTTCACATTAACCTAAATTACAATTAATTAACTTTTCAATTTCACTATTAGATATTGTCAACAATAATTATGACGTCTAAACTGTCAATTAATTTAACTTATATTTATTGACGTTTCTACTGTAAATATCACGCACAATTTAATGACAAGTTCAAATTTGTCGATTTTATAATTTCACGGATTATATAAATAAATTAACAAGTTTATAATTTAATAATTATTTAAACCCAATTTTCTTGACGTTTAAACTGTCTAGAAAGTAATAACAACACTACGAATTAATAGAAATGGGTTATAGGTTAAAGGTTGTCATTATATTGAAAACAACTTAAATGCAACATTTATATTGATTCATTTTTAAACGGTTAATTTCAATAATATCAATTGAATAACAGAAATAGTGGAATTGTGTTAATGTTTAAATAGTCATTTTAATATTACTACTTTTATGAATGAACAACAGAAAGTTGAATGAGAAATTATATTTCATTTAAAACTGTCAATTTTTGTTACAAACGGATAACAGAAACATTTTTTTTTAAATAAAGAGATTTATATCAATTTATTTATTGATATAAATCTCTGCTTCCTTTTTCTACATTTCTACCCTTTTCGGGTTTAACAGCCACCACAAATTTTTGTTGGTTTTGGGAATCGAACCAACGACGTTTCGTATCAGAGTTTCGTGATACAGGCGACAGAAATAATTTAAAGATGTAATGTTTTTTGACATATGAACTGTCATTTTTTTAATTAATAAAGATGATTTAGGAGGACAACTAAATGACAAGACCTAAATTAATTGACATTTAAATTATTAATTTCACAATTCCACTATACGAAAACGTGTTATAGACATAATTAAGAGGCGTAACTTAATGACAGGATTAATTACAGTAGTTCTTATCTTGCCGGACAAGAGAAATGTCACAAACGAACAAATCGGTTACGTCATAAATTAAATGGCGCACAATATAATTAAAATTTATAAAAAAAAAAAACAATTCATAATAAAGATTGATCCGAAATATTAATATAGATTTTTTTTTTAACTCAGCGCAAAATTAATAACACACCTGCGATAATATCGCAACAATTAATTCTGCGTATTATACCTTCGGGCAGTAACAGATTAAGTCACAATTTAATTCCTCTAAATATTTCCAATTCAAATATTTTTTAGTTAAAAATGATGACAATGAAAATCCCAGTGGTGAATTTTCATCGTTTCATTATATTTGGCTGTAATTCGCTTTCAAAAATGAAATTATTAAAAATTAATATTGATTTTCTCAGAATCTATAATAGATAGAATGAATCCAAAAGATTTATATGAAAGTTGGATATCTGGGGAAATTTTGCTGTGGTTTCATCTATTTGGCTGTAATTCGCTTAAGTAACTGAAATGATTAGAAATGAATGCTTGAAAAAGTAGTGATTTTCTCACACAATAATAGATAGAATGGATCCAAAATGCTCAACTCGCAATATTTTTTAGTTACAAAATGACGACGGAAGTATCGTTTTTTTGAAGTTTACTGTGGGCCCATTTTAAGATTTGAGGTCCCCTTGTTTTAAGAGCCCCTCCTGCGTCTGTGCGAAAATCCGCCACTGCCTTCGGGCGTGTTTTCGCCGCTACCGTTTCTTGCGATGGTCGCTGTATGTGTGTGTCTTTCGCCTCTGATTTCTAAACCAATTCTTGATTCTTGGTCGGAGCACGAGATTTCGTTGAAAGAAAATGAGACCAGTTTCTGCGTTGTCTTGCGATGAAAACGGCGACCTGCAAATAAAAGTAGAAGTTGCGAAACCTCGCGAACCGCGTTTATTCGCAGTTCGCTTCTTTCAGTTTAGAAGCGGCGCGGCGGAGAGTTAAGGTCGCAAAACTCGTAATAATCGTATCCTCGGTATATAACTTGACCCTTTTGCAATGACACACTTACCACAATTTAATGTGTCTCGTTTATTGCTCTATCTTCGCGATTTTTCTGTATATATTTATAAACGTTTATAATATTTTTTTATTCTATTTACTTTTCTCGTTCGATCTCTCTGGTTGCATGAGATTGTATTCGAAAATTTGTTGCATGCAGAAACGAGAGCGAAAGTGAGTTTTAGATATTGTTTCGCACGCTCTCGATGACTGCGAAACAAGAAGAAGAAATAAGCGAAATTTCAACTGTGACGTCGTTCTCTTACTTACATGACTGCTTTTTATAACGTGCCGATCTATCGGTATTTCATATCTCATGTAACACCTCTTATTATTGCATTAATATTTAAACTTCTGCAATAAATTCCTTTCGATATATTGATGAATATTTTTTTGCTAAACTACATACAAATTAAATCTCCTTTTTGAGCTTGCACTTATGTAATAATATACGCATTTTGATTAATCAGCGCTCGGAAAAGTTCATCAGACGTGCATTTAATACATATTTAATTAAATATATGAACTAAATTCAATTTCATACAACCTTACTCGAGTTGCATTTGGGTGATAATTAAATTTACAGACCGGGTTCATTAAACGCTTTTAATTTTATGTTCAATCATGAATGCATTGAGCACGGCGCTATTGAATCATCGAGAGAAAATAATTAAAGATCCGTGCTGCTGCTGCAGCCTGTGTATGTTATAGTTAAATGGAAATGTTGCGATCAATCGATCAAATTGGTAATTGAAGTTTATGGCCGAAATGCAAACAACAAAATGTCTGATGATCGTCAGACAGACCGATGCCAACGATGGAATTCGCGCCGGTATTAATAGAACGTCGGGGATCGTACATCAAAACAACATTAAATTGACTGCATCCATTCTGTATATGAGATTATAGTGCTCGTGTAATCTAGCCAAATTCGCTTGCATCGAAGCCAGATGTTGTTTTTGTTGTTGCTATGGTTACTTTATTTATTACTGCGATTAATTACCAAATCTGGATCTGATAGTTCGCTAATTGCCCAGTCGAGACTTACGTCCATTGTATTAATTGGCTTAAATTGTCCAGTACTTTGTTATTAAAGATTACGCTGCCAGTTGAACATCTTTTTTTTTATTAATCATCAACTGACAACATCTAATCTTTTAACTGTAACTGGATGTAACCTACATTTTGTAACCTTGACTTTTTGCAATTAAGAGATTGTATTTAAGTTGATATATAGATAAATGATGCAGGAAAACAAGATCAGTTAGTCTACTTCAATTGAATATTCACATTTATAAATTACAAATAAAAACAATATATGTTAGATACTTACAAAGCGTCAGTTTTGAGGAAATTACATTAAAAAATAAATAAATTTTTAAATCTATATTCAAATTATATAGATAAGAGAATAAATAATTAATGGTTTTGTATCTAAAAAAATGTTTACTGAATTTCTGCTTAATAATTAATATTCTTTGATTAAAAAATATTTTATATAAGTAAATTAAATTTAGACAAAATGGAGTTGAAGTGATTTTTACGAAATATGCTATTAAATATATTTTCATTTTTCTTTTGATGTACCAAGGGCAAAGATCAAAAGTTTGTTAGAGACTTAAATCCATATTTCCATCTTCGGGTAAACGTGTAAAAATATATTTAAATAAAATACGATTTCTTTGATCTGGGCCAACATTTCTTCGATAGTTTTATTGTTGAAACTAAGTTATTTTCAATAAGTATCCCGATGATTCTATATTTGTAGTTTCTTTGAACTATTTTCTAACTCTTTAGAATAAATATATAAACATTATAAAAAATATAACGATAAATGCAATTGGAATATTTAATTATAAAAGTATTTCAATTATTTAGGTCATTTTGTTAATATAAAAATATTTATAATGGTTTTATTATTTTCATTAATTTGGTAACAAAATTTGATGTAATTTAACGCAATTAATTAAGAGATTCTTTTTTTAAATTTGCAGTTTATAAATGTTTTATATATTGACATTTATTGCAACAATTACATTGAAAATAGTAAACAAAAAATAAAATATTATGTTGTTTGAAATAGTGTATTCTGTCCGCAATAAAACTTCTTGTTTTCGGTTTATTTGATTGAAAAGCGTCAATAGAACGTGACGGATGTAATGCGAATTAAAAACGCGTGCGTAGTTATATTCAAATTTTACGACTTATTGTGCTCAATTAAATCGAACGAAATTGCATAACAGGTATACCAAAAAAGGTGTACGCCGCGCAATAATAACACAATTATTCTTCATTTTCGTTTCCTATTTCTTCATTATTTACGACGCGTTTCGACATCGAATCATAATGATATTGAAATGAATGAGCTGCGTGTCGCTGTTTTTTTCTTCTTCATCTTTAATATTTTCATGTTACATTCACTCTTTTGCTTCCTCGTACGATGCGTTAATAATCATAGAAAGAAATTAAGTACAAAGGAGGAACGAGCTGTACATAACAATGAGAGTAGAAGAGCGATTTGAAAGTCAAATGGCGATCGGAAATTGATTTGCGAGAAGAGGCGAAGCCGTCGGAACCGGAGGGAGGTTTTATTTGATGAACACGGGCTTAAAATAGAATCTCAAGGTGAGCCGCATTCGCCGAGTTTGATAACCTATTTACAGTTTTCGCTCTACTCCTCCTCTTTTACACTTTTTTTTTTTAATTGGAAATTGTGTATGTATTTGCATCGATCTCGTTCATATGGAATGCTGCGATTACGGGTTGGGCCAGTTTGGAGAAGACTGTCTTCCGGACTCATTTACAAAATACAATCTTCGACTTCCGGGTGCGCGAGTCAAAGACGTCGACGGTGGGCGTGTCCCGAATTACACAGGTGGACGCCCCGAGGCTGGTTTTCGCGCATCCAGTCATAATTTCCGGTTCAACTTCCGGGTTTCGCGAATTGCAGTGGGCGTGTCCGCAATTAGACATTTGTTTTCGCGATTACTGTCGATGCTTGCCGATTGGTCGAGAGCTGAGGTCGCGGAATGCATTTCACCCGGTCTCCTTGAATGGCCCAACCCGGTGTGTCTGCGTGCCTCGTTTCCGCTTCCGATCTTGAGGAATGCTCCGCACGCAAACGAAATCCGAAGATCGAAAGGAAAAACGTAGAAGTTGTATCATAAATAATGAAGCGTTCGGGTGTCTTGGAAGAGTAGGAGTAAGAGCAGGAGGTTAACCGGTCTCTATAAAATTTATTATTTCACACCCAACTATTTACGGTCGAAGCTTTTAAAACAGATTACCGGCAATTTTTTTTTATTAAGTTGCGCACACCCGAAACCGTTAGTCGTGCGTTGCGTAATACGCTTTGCAAGGAATAAAGATAATAAAAAAGACAAAACCGTCTGAAATTGACATACCGTTTCCGATTAACTCTTATATAAGATTTCGGTGCTCATTCAAGCGCGCTTCATAAATAAACAAATAAATAAATAAACAAATAATTGCCGCATCGTCTTCCAACGGATTTACGTAATGGCGAAAGCCAATTTGTTTGTGCATCCGGGCAACAAACTATATGCAGCACACTCGAAGCACGCAATCATTGCATGCGCAAAACACGAAATAAACGAGCCCGCAAAAAAAATCAATGGAAATCGCATGTCTTTTCGTGAAGAACAATGAACATTTTCCTTCTTTATTTTTATGATCGTACTCTTATTTCGGGTATTTAACGTCTCGATTATATTGATTTTCTGTTTAAATTATCGGAGTTTTGTATCATATTCGTATTGAATTTTTCTTTTAAAGAGCTGTAATATTTAATTTAAGAAATTTGAAATTTTCTCTTTGAATCGGAAAAACGCAGTGATTCGTGGCGCCACCTATAATCATCGCGATAAAGAATAACAAAAAAAAAACTTAATTAAATTTAATTATAATTCGCACAAAACGAAATCTATTTTAATTAAAATTTGTAATTAAAATATTTGCGGAATTTGTTTGGTATGTTTATGGAATGCGGGCGCGCAGCACCATCTAACGCCGGATAGGCGAAAAACGATCGCTGTCAGATTTGACGTTTTGTTGGTTTTGTTGCCGGTGAAACAAAAAAAAAAACGAAAACATAAACATACGTCGCACGATGTCTGTTGTTGATTTGGCTGTGCCGCCGCGGAGAGTGTCTTCTTTGTGCTAGCAAAACGTCGCGGGAAAAGCGAAATTTCCGTGTAGATTACGTGAAAAAACGTTAACGATGAATTTCATCGAGGATTATTTTAACGAGCACGTTAACATCGGCGTCTACGTTAACCGTTGCAACAGAAGGATCTCAGGTTCGACGTATTTTACTGTCTGATATTCATATTGTCCGTTGCGGATGCTAATATTCAACCGTTTTCGTTCGTTGCAGATATCGATGGGTCTAACAGCAGCTTATCGGAAAGGAGAAGAATTGGGCCCCCAGAGAACACGATCACCTATCATGTAAGTGTATCCATCCATTTGGATTCAGTTGAAATATCGAATACAGAATACATATATCGTTACGATTTCCACCAAAATGTTTACTGCATGATTCATGTGATAAATCTATATACATATGCATGGGAAATGTGTGGGTCAGAGGTTATCACCATAATTATTATGCCTTTGCAGCGCATTGTGCAAATCGTTTGTTTCCATTTCTATTTTTTTTTTCTCTTATCTATTTTTCGCTATAAATCATTTATGACCTCGTGAATCAATTAAACACTCCAATGCGGTGCTACTTAAGTTAATTGAGATTTATGTTATCTATATATTTAGCTAATATATTTTTATGATTGTATCGATTTGATTATTTTGATGATTTTTTTTTAGGTGGCTGATAGGGATACGCTGACCTCTGTCGCGGCTAGATTCGACACGACACCCTCCGAGCTGACCAAATTGAATCGCCTAGCGACGCCCTTCATCTTTCCTGGTCAACAGCTTTACGTCCCAGCGAGACAGCCTATCGATAACGATTCCGATAGTTCTACGCCCATTGAAGACACCCACGACGATCTACCACCTGAAGAAAAAGGTAATCATCCCCATATAATTACGGTTAATTTCATTTCTCGGAATCGTTATAGCTTTATGATATTTTAGTTGTCTTTTGAAGACATCTCAAATACGTGATTTTACTTTGTAATGGTCACATTGTTTTTTACATTGCACGAATTTAGTATTCTAAAACAGTAGAATATTTCTGCTTTGTTTATTACATTGGAAAATCGTATAGAGTGTTTACTAAATCACTAAAATACGATTATGTCAAGTGCAAAAAAAAAGTATTTAGTTTTTTGAATTGCAGGTAGTTATAAATACAAATTTGTAACATCAGAGAACACAAACAGTACATGTTCAATTTAATTAAACTGTGCTCAGCGATACACGAAATATCAGTTACAACTCATATTGATTACATTAAATACGAGAACAATAAACAAACAAATTAGATCTTATTTATTTTCTACATATTTTATTTTTTGTTGTAATGTCTTGTATAATAATTATTATAAAAAATTAAATTAAAATAAGTACATATAAATAATTCTAATATTCTAATTAGATTAAAATATTTTTTATTCGAATTGCAATAAAAAATGGAAAATGTTGTTCCTCAAGAAAAGTTTTGATGTAAAATTTTTATATATTTTTAAAGCATGAGCGAAAAGACTGGAAATTACTAAAGATTTTGTTTTGACGATATTTATAACGTGGGTTTAACCAGCTATCGCCAACGCATAAAACTCTGTGTTTTATCTGTTTAGGCAACAATTAACGTTAACTAGATTAATACTTTTGCATACGTTATTTTATTTTAGTGCAAGCCTAAAAGGCGTTTTATCTTTATTGAGTAATTATTTGTATACAATAAAGCGGTGGTATTCAAAGCGTTGATTCCTGATTGGCTTGGTAAGGCAGCACATGCGGGCAAAATAGATACATATATATATAGAAAAGGAATGTAGGCGATCTGTGTATGTGACCTTTCCACGATGTTCCATCTGGTCAATTACCGCCCAAAAGATTGCCGAGATAAATTGGAAGAGCAGAGATATTGATGGTTAGCCAGAATGTTGTGTGTCTGGCAAATAATCGTGTATACTTTGGCGCTGTGCGAAAAGGTTTATGGTTTTATTTTATAGAAATCAAAAGACTTTTATAAACAATTTTTTACAATTATATAATAAAAAATTATTATTAATACACTATTGTCATGCGCTCTTGAAACTAAATTTGAAAATTAATATATTTAAATTATTAAATAGGTTCGATAAAACAATATATTACTTGTTTACTAATGATCTTCAGAGTTTATACATATTTGTCCCTTTAAATAACGAATAAAAAGTTTCTTCGTACATCGAATGTTTACCATTTGAGAAGGACAGTGAAGTGATTGAAAAACTTGAGCGAAGTCTCCTTGCAAAAAAAGAAAAGGATTTATAAATAAGTTCGTTCATAAAATCTACAAAAATAAACATTGGATTTGTTTATATAGTCTTATTTGTTTGGGTCTTCAATAGATGGCATTAAGAACACATGTGTATATCTATATTTAACCACGTGTTGCATTACAGCTTGCAACGGTTTCTTTTGAATGCAGTTTATTATTAAAAAATCATCTATATTGTTGATTATCATTCGGAAAAAAGTCAATATGTTATAATTATTGTTGGAAAAATGGCGTTTGTTAATAATATTAATTAGTTTTTAAACTTGAAATACTTTTATCTCTAACACTTTAATTTTCATGATTATAATTACAGTAATTTTACTTGAAAGTACTAAATGATTCCATGTTTTGTCTTGATCTTATGACTAAATCAATGTGATGAAATCAAGTTTATGTAAGATTCTTCTATGTATTTTTATAATTTACATTGATGTGGGTTTCTTTCTGCGTTACGTTCGGTGCGGTTGAGACGTTTTTGACTATGCATCAAGCCGTTCTTCTTGACTATTCTTCCGACTTCCTTTTTTTATTTCGCGGCGCGTCTCCGATGAGCAAGCGAAAATGAGTAATTTATAAATAGAAACTAACCTATCGGTGTTGTACAAAACATATGTACGGTTTCGTCGACGTACGAAGTTTGATAACGAACGGCTGCAATTGGGGGGCCTGTATATCAGGATATTAAACACGCTCGAGGAAAATACATAATATTTTGTTGAGTTTAGACCTAGAGAACGCGCGCACTCGGTCCGTGCCGACTACAAATGGGACACTAGAGAATAAACTATGTTTGGTTTATCATTTATCCAGAGTGAGTCTCTTTAACCATTAGACACATCTTTCTTGTGACTTTGTAGTCTGTAATTTGCTTTCGTAAGTTACCAAATCATTTTTTTTTACATGTAAAGTACAGCCGTGTCTGCTGTTATTTGTACAACCAATTTGTACGGTGACAGACCCAAGGCCGTAACGGTGATGACGTTATGTGGACAGCTGATAACGTGTCACCGTGGCTAATCAGGAAACGCACATGTTTATGTTGTTTGTTTGGAAACGTCAAGAAATATGATTAGCAAGCGACGTGTCAATGTTTATTCAATTATTCATTCATATTCATTTTTTTCTTTCTAGAATTGTTGGATAATTTGCGACCGGTGAGTCCGAAGCCTGGCCATGCGGAAAGAATTCGAACACCGTCTTGTAACACGGACAGCTTCGCTGATGAGGAGTCTGCTATTTACAAGAGGTTCCTCAAGATCAACGTCAGACATATCACAGATGGCCAAGGCGTGGTCTCTGGGGTGCTGCTCGTCACGCCCAATGCGGTTATGTTCGACCCGAACGTCTCCGATCCTTTGGTCATCGAGCACGGCCCCGAAGCCTACGGTGTCATCGCACCCATGGAGTTCGTGGTGAACGCAGCCATTTACAACGATATCGCCCACATGCGCGTCGGCCACGTGGAGAACACGTCTGGTAGCAGCACCGAGAAACCGGAAATATATTATCCCAAAAACGACAAAGTTACGGACTCGCTGCTGGTCAAGGACGAGACTTTCCCGGAACTAGGTAAATTCATAAAACCGCCTTTTATTTCTTTGTCATGATGCATAGTTTTAGTAACCGGCGACGATGCCGAGTCTATATGCTCGTGTACCGAGCGAGAGGGAGATGCCTTCCCGAAGGCTTTCGAACGTGATCTTGTCACGCCCACAAACCTAGAAGATGCCGAACAACCGCAGAGGAGCATTGAGGAGAGGCGAAAATCATTGTTGGACCATCACTGGGCCATCCCTTCCAAAGACCGGGCGTACGTTAATTAAACTCTAAAAACTATTAAAACTCGCATTCCTGAAATATAATCAGATTTTCTACCACAATTAGCGCATTCACCAGTAGTGTGTTTCAGGTCTAAACTGCAGGAACGAGTGATAAATATTTATTATTACATAAATGCCTAGATTATATGCTAATTGTATTTTTGATTTAGGTCAATGGACACGGACGATTTACCGCTGTCTGCATCTCCCGGTCCGTTGGCTGAAGAGCAGATCGAAGAGGAGGATGATTTATTAACCAAACAAAGTTGCCACGACTCTGGCATCGATATTAGGGATACAAGTATCCCGCCAATTGTACCTGTTGCATCGAAGAAAGTGAGTAGAACCGTAATCGATTAATGCGTGTTTGTGTCCATTAATGAAATCTCTACTTAATAACTGTTTTATTAATTTTCTTTTCTTTTCTACGAACTAATAACTAATGCGCAAAATTGGATTTGAGCAGCCACTGACTCAGGTAATCAAAATGTACATTTTCTGATATACCGCTTAAACGTCGCAAAATATTCTATCCGTGCCTTTTGTATTAATTGCATTCCGTATATTAAAAAATATGACATTACTTAACAGTGTGTTCTTTTCGGTTTTAGGTATATAGCGATGCTGATATTGTCTTATCTCGTGACTGGGTTCCACCAATAACGATTGCTCCCACACAGATCACCAGCACCGAGACGGACAGTCCAGGCCGAAAGAAGACAAGCTCAGTCTCCTTCAGTCTCGATTCCAGTTCTGAAGCGGAGCCAAGTTCGGCATGCTATTCGAGCAGCGAGCGCGAGGAAGTCGACAAGGGCGGAGAGAGCCGGAAAAATAAAGTATGATGCAATGGTCATATAGACACATGGAATATGCTCAATTTTTATGTATTTTTTAGATGTTGAAGAGGTTGTCGTATCCACTTTCTTGGATGGAAACTCTAGCAGGCGACGGAAGCAAAGATGAACACGATAAGTCGAGCCATCCGCATTCCGCTGATGCTCACCACTCATCGTCTATGTTTTCTAAAGTTTTCTCTAGGTCAGTATTTTTTAGGCGCTTTCTATCAGATATCATAATTTTTCTAGTTTATTTTTTTGTTACTTTTGATTAATTTTCGGATGTGTTTCGTGAAGATTGGTCATTTTATAAAAATCTGTAATTTGTTAATGATTTCACGAAGCATGTCCAATTAATGCTGTTTGGTGATGGAAATATTATTGGTATGCATTGTTGGCGTCGTAACTAACTAACTAACTTGTGTGTGTACTCTGCTGCCTCCATCGAAAACGAAATATCTCGAATAAAACCACCACGGCGATCGGACAATCTAATTGGCTACTCAAAATTGAAATAATTACCAAAAAAACAAAAACGAAACGTACTGACGATTATACGAAATAAAAACGGGTACGAAATGAAACTCAGTTCACCTATAAACCTGGTGGATTTCGGTACTGGCCTGTTCTTGAGCAAAACTCCGTCGGAGGACAGCGGCGGCTCAGGGGGGCCTCACTCAGGAGGCAGTGGGGGGCCGCCTATGACGCCCGCGACTGGCGCCAACTCCGATTCCCCGCACACGGATAGCTCCAGCTTTTTCCCAACGAACATTATCAGTTCGATGGGCGCGAGCGTCGGTGCGATGGGGGCCCATGTGGGAGCCTCCGTCGGGGCGACGGTCGGCGCTGTAGGTGAGGCTGTCGGCGCCTCCGTCAACGCCGTCGGCGGCGCCGTCAACGCTGTTGGCGCCACCGTCGGCGCCGTTGGGTATGTCTTCAAAATTCACTTGATGTTATACTCTTCTCAATATTAGGTTGTTGCAAACATATCCGAACAGTTAAACGTGACAATTTCTATTGTTACTAAAAAATATTACAAAGAAATTATTTATATGATCTTCCACTGATTCAATGTTTCTATGCAACTATGCTTTTTCAAATATTCACTGCACTTCACATATAAATAGTTTCTCTTGTTAATGTATTGAAATGCAGTGGTTTTGGCTTTACGATTTATAAACAAAATAATATTCTTGTAACTTTCATCAGCGAATATTTTGTATACATTATTTAAATTTAGATTCTGTGGTTTATTATTGCAGAAAATATCTCGCTTTCAACCCATTATCCTTTTATTAGGAACCGCTTCGTGTGCATAAACAAAACTATTTGCATATTAATACAAATTCGAACAATATAAAAATACACAATTTATTAAATTTATATAATTCTTTTAAAAAATAGGGAATTATTATTTTGCAACAACCTAATAACAAAATATACAACAAGTATACAAATACACAAACAACCAACACGATATGATTTAGTTTTTGTTTTAGTTCTTTCTCTACCTTCATTGTTGCTTCACGTTGTTTGTGCATTGTGTTTTTTTTAAATATTCTATTTTATATTTTTATCTGTTTACTGTGACTGTCCGTAAATGTTAAGTAATCCGATTGTGCCGTATTGTGCTATCCCAGTAATCGTCAATAGCGATTGGATTATTTTTAGTGAACAAATCTACACCACAAATTGAATGTCGATCTGAACTTTTTTTCTTGTGTGCGTTGCTTTAAAAATGAATCTTTGCTCAGTCAATTAGATATTGCTTTTGACGAAAATTGACTTAACAACAGATCTCTGCGTATTTTGTGTTGCATACTCGTCGTTTGATGTCGTCCATTTCCGTGTCTTTCTAAAATTGTTAAGTTTTGCGTTTGTGTAGGCGTTCGTCTGTAGGAACATTCATCCGCCAACCAACGGAGGCAGGATCCAAACACGCGAAAGCTCCGCCCCCAAAACTCGACTACCGATCGATGGTTTCCGTCGACGATATGCCTGAACTCTTCGTATCCTTCGACAGTAAGTTTTAATTATTCTCATAACTATAACTCTATCTCTATATATATTACATATATAACCAGATTACTAACAAAATCATCGTAGTGTTTATTTATTTTTTGGACATTATTAATTATTATTTTTGTTAACAAATTCTAGTAATCATTTTCTGTGCCTACACAGCACTTGCTATTTAGTACTAAAATTGGCTAGTTACTGAAAATAACAAAATTTTCAATAGTATATTTTTTTTAGATATTTATAAATAAAAAAACATAGTAATTGTTTTCATAAAAATAATCTTATAAAACTAATATTAGAAAATAATTGCTAAGTTTTTTTTAAAAATGACATATTTCGAGTACGATTTGGGTGTAGTCTGTTTACATTTTATGTTTTTCTTTAGAGACTTGGGTATTTGCTATGCAATATTCTTGAAGATTTGCAATGCAAAAACCTACGTCCTTGTTTGTCTCTCTGTTTCGGCCGTACACTAACATAACTGAATTACTACAATATTAATTACTCATTATTTAGTGACATTTCGTTTGTTCTATTTACGGCAGTGCGATCCCCGCACTATGGGCTTGACATGCTGGGTAGGTGTTTTATGCATGTCCCAAAGATGTAACAATGTAATCAACTTGCATATATTGCATGCACTCTCTCTGTCTCTCTCTCTCTATTTCTTTAATTTTTTGATGTTTACTTCTTTACCTGTTATTTTATTCAGCCTGGACTATCTTCTTACCCAAAGGGATTAAGTAATATGTTTTCACTATGCATTTAGCACACGAAAAGCGCGGCCTGGCCTACACAACGACCGCACAACACATTCAATAGATTATGTAATTTGTATACTCTCAATTCTTAGAAAAATATTAATTAATCATATCGGATGTTTTTCAATCCAATCAACAAACTTTTCGATTTATCCTTGTAGGTCATAAGTAACAATGAAGTTTATAATATTATGATATTTCTTGGCTGAGTCATGGGATTAATAATTGAGTTAAACGACAATTATGGAAATATTTAATATTTTAATGCATGAGAGTATTATTATTAATCTTTATATTGAATGTGTGTGCGCAATCAATCACTGTTTTTCTTGTCTGTATCATCCAGTTCACTGCTTTTCATGGGTCGAAACAATCGCGAAGATAAGTTAATTATAGACAGAAGTATAACGCTAATTGGATGATTTCATGGACTATTTTCCATAAGAAAAACAAAAACAAAATCACTTTTTAAATCATTCGCATGTTTCTATTATTTTCTTTTCAAATTTTCTGTCTTCATCTATGTGTCTATCTAATTCTCTTTTTCCTGTCTTTTCCTCTTCTTGATATATCGCATAAAGGTTGCTCACGCCATCAATTTGCTAACTGTTTTCTTTGAATTTACGTGCATTGTTTAGAATTGATTCCGAGGCCGGCCAGATCGTGCGAGGATCCACCCTTGTATCTGCGCCTACGTATGGGCAAACCCATCGATAAACCCATACCTAGATCGACACCCTTGATGTCTTACGGCAAGAAGAAGATGAGACCAGAGTATTGGTTCAGCGTGCCGAAGAATAAAGTCGATGAACTGTTCAGCTTTGTTCAGGCCTGGGTCCCGCAGCTCTACGGTGAACTCGACGAGGATCAAGTATGAATAATATTAAATAATATTATGATAATCGTGATTTTTATATCCGTACTATTGTGGTTTTCTGCAGGTGAAAACTCGAGGATTCAGCTTAGTCGAGTTGGACACGGAATTATGGAGTGACGAACCGACGCCGTCCGCAAGTCGTCACGGTAGCCAAGATGGAGAGATTACAGAACTGACTAGAGAAAGTTGGGAGGTGAGTTACAATTTCGAGTAAAAATAATTTCCGTCCGGGGAAGGAATATATCTATTCACTACCACGTACTAAGCAATCGCAAGACCAACAATATGAGCATTTTGAATCAATACAAACTGGTATTTTGTTCTATTATTAAACAAATATTTGTACAACTCTTAATGACATTACTGCATAAAAAGAAAAAAAAACTAATATTCGCTTTCCGCGTGCGTTGTAATGAAAACAATATCGAAAGGTGCAAAAAACGAGCAAAAGCAAAGAGAGCTGTTTCTCGAGGTCGACTCCGTACATTTTTAGTTGAAAGAACAATTACAATAATTACGTATTCCTCGGCACACGTAATTATCAATTTCGGCGAAACAGTTGTACCGATGATTTCCATTAACTTTCCAAATAAAATCCATCTGTTTGTTGTTGCCGGTTTACAATTTCGCATAAACGCATTTTTGAGTTTTTTGGCAAAGGTCAGGATAATCTTGGAGGCTTCGAGATTGTGTTTAAAAATACGAACGCTGCAAGCGACGTCCTGGGAAAGAGGGGGAGTAGGAAGGGATGAAAAAGTGCGCATACCGCCAAGTACTCTCTGTGCTTCATGCCTCACCATCATTATTCACAGTTCGGTTTTTGAATTTTGACTGCATCTGGAGGAGTACAAGAGCTCTGGGTGTTTTTAGTGATACGTTCGTTTTTATTTGACTTGTATTCTATCCATATATATATATAAATTTTGAGTGCAGAAAATACTATTTTGCAACGCAAACTAGTTTGACTGGAATTTTGTTGATGTTTATTCCCGCTGCCAATTAATTTGTGATACGAATAATAATAATAGGAATAGAAAGAACGGAAATTATTAAAAGCATTTGTGTGTCAGTTCTGAATACCATACCGAGTGTTCACTTTCGGTGTACAACAGCAGTAGCAGCAGCAGTATCTTTTTTCCTTTGGACTCTCATATTTTTTTCCAAATGAAAATGGCCAGCCAGGTAAATCTCGTTCAGTTACTAATTAGTAAGCGCGCTCGGAAAATAATCGGCGTTAATAACAATTGTTGCGTAATTGTGTCGCTCGATTTTGCAATGTTATTTCAAGAAAGTTATAGTTGATTTCGTCGTATTTTGGACCGGCACAATTTAATTTTAAAACTGGTATAAGTAAAATGCCCGTATGTATGTCAGTCAGCATCGGCAATAATATGCAATACCTGATTATACTGCTCTTCGCATACTTGACAATCGTTGCGGCGCGTTTTACCTTGAATATTGGAAATATCTCTGAAATTCTTCGCCGGTTGACTCACGTACGAGAATCAGCGTTTTATTCAATCATAGTCGCATATTTCACATTCTATTTTTTTTATTTCATTCATCTTCAAAATAAATTCTCGTAACTTTAATCGTTGGCTCGAATTGTAAAAATAGATTCCTCGATCATTTAAAACTCATTAAAAAAAATGATCGATTTTACCTATCATACAAAAGTCATTTTATACCATTCCAAATGACGATGTTATTTTTCAATTTACTTTTAATTATCTGTATTATTTGATCGTCAATTAACAATTCATTACGTTAATCAACTATTCAGGACAAACGTGTTCCGTTCATTACCAATTGCGCATAAACTTATTCTATTCTTAATTACTTCGACTTTGACAATTATTTAATAAAATTTATTTCCGCTCGACATGCATTTAAATGAAACGCATTTTATACTAATTGACTAATTACATATCATTTTTTTTTATTGTAACATGTGGCGAGTTACTTTTCATCACGTTTCTTAGTTTATTATTAGTAGCGGAATACACGACTGTTTAATAAACAACTGCATGTCGAACCTTGAATATTCGATTTTGTTTTCTCGGGAATTGTAGCGATCAGAAAAATTGTCGTCAAGTAGTTCATATTTATGTTTTATCAACATTTGGTTTCATCCATCTGGAAACAGAACGTAATGATTTGTTTACAGTTTTTTTTAACTTGGAATTTTCACAAACGTTGTGCAATTGTTGATTGATGATCCAATAGTTTTTTTCCTCAAATTAAAGAAGGACTCTGTGAAGTCCCATCAAATGAAAGAGATTTTATTTACAATACATTTTTAGCATCTGATTAAAGAATGAATTTAAGTTTATTTAAGGTAAAATCTGGTCGATAATATTGCATAATTTATTATAGACATCAAAGTTTCTTAAATAATTACGTTTTAATGGAGCAATAAATATGCAGTTAATAAAATATGCAAATGAACAGTATTATTGTCAATAAATTGTGTTTTGTTCCAAAAAAGCACGTTTACCGAAAGGAAAACTGATAATACCGCAACATTATTTTACGTCATACTTATTAAATGCCACAAACTGTTTTCGTACCAATTAAAAAATATTATTGAGTTTTGTTTGTTGAAACTCATTCGTTTTTATTTTTTTTTTGTTCTCTTTGAGGATTGCATTACAACAATGATATACAAAATGATTGCTTTGCTTCTATCTCAGTGGAATGTAATTAAATATAACAGACTCGACGTTAATTATAATTTTCGGTTTGCATGAACGATGTACAATTAAATGTCGATATTAGCTGTTAATCAATTCGTGTTTTCATCGTTGGATACATTCGCAATGGACGATTGTGTAATTAATTACCGTAGAATCATCAAGGATAACATTTATTTAGCAATTAAATCAGACTTTGCAGTTTATAAAAAAAAGATACTAGACTTTAAAACAATAACTAATGTCGCGCAGATATAATTCTGAATCACTGTATTTTTTTTTGTGCTCTGATAAATATTTGCGTGAAATTATTTCCTCGGCATTTAAGTATTTCGCTAGAAATGTGTGTACTATGCAGATTATATGGAAAACAACAACTTCAACTTAAAATAATCCTAATACTAGGAATGTCTAACACTTGTTGCTGTGGTTGCCTACAATACTAATGTTTTATGTAAGACTGGTTTGTTTTTCTTGTTCAAATTGAATACTGATTAGTTTTTGGTATAAAGTGAAATATATGCAATTTATTGTATTCCCTCTTGAATAAGAGATATTTATAGTTCTGTTGTTTATGTAAATTTATGATAAGAGTGAATGCAATTGCGGGTTTTGCGAAAACAAATAATAACATGTTTTCGCACCTATAAAAAGAGTTTTAAGAAATTAGTTGTATTGATTCATGCTCTAATTAAACTGTTTCTTCGAATGCTTTGTTATTATGTTTTTTTGGATGGTCAATGGACTTATTTTTGTTTGTTTATGGACAATGTATTTTTGTGTGTGATTGGTCAATGGTCTTTGCGATTGCTTGTGTTGCGTTGGTTAAAACTGTTGATTTTGTTGATGTACTTGTGTAATATGGATAATAAACCGTGTGGTTGTTGTGTGTGGGGTGCAGCTGATCAAGGCGCCGTATGCTAAGATCTACTCCATCATCAAGACTCAGACGATGTCAGCGGATGGAAACGATGAGGTGACATACTGTGCACGTCTCATTAACTAAACAATATTAAAATCAGATACCAAAATCTATACAAGAACACCACCGTGTCTTCCACCACCCTCGACCCCTCTCTCTCTCTCTCATTAGTGAACTCTGCCAAAGAAACCGCCCCTCGTAGGAGGGCCACAAAACTATAGCTTTTATAGACGATAATGCATCCATGTGAAACGTAATCGGTGTTCGTTTATGTGGACAGTCGCACCAAATCCAATGAACCAAACTTTCATGCACAACAAATGTTTTTTCTTTGTTTGTTTTTTTACAATTATTATTTTCGTCCCAGCCTTGATCCCTAACTAATGCAATTTTAGTATGAATGTTCGATGTTATTGAGTCGGGTTACAATTAATGATATTGCATAATCAGTATTCTGTAATCAAATTAAAAGTTATTTATTTATAACTTTAATTATTGATACATAATCTAAACTTAATTAATTTTCTTAATACGTAATCTATAATTTCTTGGAAATTAATTTTCATTATCATTTGATTCGAATGTACAAAAAAAAAGAATCTTAATTATTTGTGTTCCAATTTAAAAATAACTGTTTACACGCTTTTTGACTTTTCTCCGCGCCTAAAATCATACATTGTTTCTCTTCCTGTTCACTAATTTCATTGTATTTCGTAATATCATTAGTCTACTTCAAAAAAAATCTAAATCTTTGGGTATATACCAAATCCAATTTCTTTTAAGAAGCTTAAAATGAGCTAGTATCATATTTAAAGACGTTTTCAGTTACTACTTAATTTAATAATACATTTTTCTGTCAAATTGTATGAAAATACTTAATTTTTTCTTCACATTTCTTTAAAGAGCAGAGATTTCTATATAACATTTCGTGCTATATTTGAACAATATCAATAGAGTGTTGACTATTACTCTTAAATGGTAAAAGCTTATATAACAATAAAATTACCTGAAAATCAATAGTAATCAAATTGCAACAAATATTTATTGTATGACATAATTAGCGCATGCATTCTAAATCAATATCAAATGCAAGAACCCGACTCAATGCTGATCTTGAAATAGAAATTGCAATTGTTGATTTACACCCGAATCCATCGATATTGTTTTTGTGTAAAATCGAAGATGCTAAAATAATGTCATCTTCGATTTTGCATTGGCTAGACACAACTGCAAGAAGACAAATTTTCGCGTCTCATAGTTGTATATATATATGACAAACAAATTAGGCACACAAAATAGTAGTTGGCTTACACCCATAGTATGTGGCATCAGTGTTTTTGTTAGATCAGTGTCTATATTTTAGTTACTACTTCTATGTTTTATCTTCTATTTAGATCTGTTTATCTCTGTCTCCTCCACTATTTAGAAATCGCATTACTACGGTAGCGAAAATAAAGCGTGTTACGTGCGAAAAAAAAAACAATGCTCATAATACGAGAGAGCAACAGTGTTTTAAGCTGAAATATTAATTCGGTCGAGACCAAAAAAAAAGAGTAATAATACGCACCGCATAAATGAGCGTAAACGAAAAGAGCCCAAATGAAAGTATCGAACCTTCGATTCACAATGGTTATGCAACTGGAAACCAGTTTCGATGTTTGTATATGGTTCGTCCAAAACTTGGCTCTCTCTAATCCGAAAATTTCTGAACCCACCGTCGGTCGTAGAACGAGGCGAATCAAAATCCACAATAGAAAAAAAATATAAATTAAAACGCGGGCGTCAGTTCGTGAATGCAAATCGCCCAGAATCTATAGAAATAAAGGTAAATACGGATAATATAATTTAAATCTCGCACAAAGAAAACACGTAAATTGAAACAGAGATCTCTCCTAAATTGAGCGAGGAATTTGATGGGAACATTTAAATTTGTAGAGACAACCGAGGTTATTAATAATATCGGAACGCACTAAACGGTCCCATGCTCATTGCTAATATCAATAGAGTTTAAAAATAATCCTTTATTTCACATTATATCATTGCATTTATTATTCATATAATCGACGAGTTGTTTATAATTTACTTTTCATTTCCAATCGCAATTTATATACGCGGTTGCGTAATAAATTTAATTAAATTTATGATAGCTTTCATTTTTATGCACCTCGCGGAGAAAAACAAGCAATAATTGCTAATATGTTTTTTTTGGTGCGCAAATTTTTCCTTTTGTTATTTGCTTAATTGGTGTTAATTTTTGATACAAATTTGGGGATTTTTTTACGATATTAGTGATATTTGCAGAAAATAACATGAATTAATTACATTTTTTGTCATCTGTCTGCTGCGTTTCTCCTCCTTCTTTCATTTTCGAACAATGGCAATAACAAATCCCATACAGTTTGTTTGTTCTAAGGCTTTTCTCTTCCTCCCATATGTGCTTGCACGTCCAATTATCGTCCCATTATGCAAATTCCGTGTACAATTTTTTCCCTCTGGTCCGGTCGTACTTACAAAATAAATTCGTCGCGTGCGTCTCAATTCATTTATATCTGTACGCACGATCGAGCAACATCAGCTCTAAGTAATTTTAAGGGTGCGAAAGTTTTACGCGTAATTTATTTGTGTTCGAATCGTCGTAGGATGATCGTGGAAAAACTGTATTGGACAAAGTGGTTTTCGTAATTCGCCAAGTGATTTGTCTATAACTATTTTTTTTGTGTGTATCGTGTGTGAGGATAACAATAAACAGGATTATTTATGAAGGGTGTGGATGTGGTGCGTGTGTTGCGCAAAATATGGGAGGGTTTACAGTTGTGTTCGGTGACTCTTTCGGAACCGCCGACGGAAATTCACGTTATGACGGTTCGTAGTCAAATATCAACAGTTTTTATCACTTCAGTCCCAAGAAAACTCTTTGTTTAGTCATAAATATCGCTTTTTAATTGATCATTGATTCATGATGTTATTTGTTACTTGTTTTTAGAAAAAAACAACAAATCTTGATTGATTTATTTCTAATTATAAACATTTAAAACGTTTTGAGATAAACCGGTTTACATTAACCAATTTAAATACTATACATAATTTACTTTCAAGTTGTTTGATTGATGAAAATACAACATATACAATATGCTTAATAATAAAATTAAAATTCTTAATAGAAAGTTTTCAAAAATATATTTTGTATATGTATTTGCAGTATTTTTTTAATTTTGTTAATGAATTTACTATTATATTAAATATAAACTAACACAAAAAGTTTATAATAGATAATAATAAATTTCAATACAAATTATTAAAATTTGCGTTAAAATCTGTCACAGTTCGTAAAGGAAGTACAATTCTTATTAAATTATTGATTGTTAAAGCTAGATTTTTGTTTTTCTATGTACAAGTGGAAATACATTTTCCCATTGATTCTGATTGGCACTGCTTAATGGGAAAGTCAGAGTCTATAGTTATTTTAATTTGTGAATGTACTGTAACGATGAATTATAGAAAATAGGCAATTAACTTGTTATCTCTGACGTGTTTCAGGAGCAATTTAACAATTTTTTGTTTCCGCTAATTGCACTTAATTGTCGATGTTGAAAATCTAAATTAGTTTAATTTGATCACACTTCACAATATTTCAATGTCAACAATATGATTTTTTTTTTGTGAATACTTAGAAAATGTTTTAATTTAAATCATCAAAAAAGTTTAAATTTACATGATATTAAGAATATGATATATAAGTATTTTTTAGTTTTTACTGTAGTTCTCTAACTCAGTGATTCTCAACCTACTTTTAGACACAAAAAGTTTCTGTGACCCCCGAAGAATGGGTATGTGAAGAAAAACAGTCAGGATTGATCTGTTTTATTCTGATTAATTCGTTGCAACAAATATTTACGCACAATTTGAGAATTACTGCTCTAACTCAATATTAGGTTCATTTTTTTTTGTCAAGAATCTCCTTGATAGTTCTTTAAACTCTTAGAAACAATTTTTTTGTTGTTAAAATGCCAAATATCAGTTCTGGTTAAATGTAATTAACGAAATATGGCAATATTGATTTAACGAAAAAATGAGTTTTGAAGTATTTGGATGTCAAAAATGTGTTAATATATTACAGTTTCTTTTCAAAAATAATATAATCGGGTGCAGCTTGATTGAGCCGATCCATTATTAGGTTACTATTTTAATGAATTGGATACATTTCAAATCAGGTAACTTCCATCATGTTTATCGGAGATAAAAAAATTCGCGGAATTTAAAGTGCATTGTTAATTCCGGAAAAAAAATATATATGAGGAAATGTAATTACTTAAGTGCGTGTAATTTTGCAAACGAAATGTTATTGTTTCCTTATGTACGAAATGAAAAGACACATCACATCAAGAATACAAAAGAAGACTGCGACCACGTCCATACAAATGTACGATGATGTCGACGCCTAATTACAGTTATTGCACCGTTAAATACAAAATAATCGTCGGCCTCGTTTTTGTGTTTCTGCTCTCGTGGAAGAGAGAACAACACAGCACACAGCATAATTTCAGTTCCTACTAAATCGCGTGACGGTTAGCTGCAGCATAGCTTTTCCTCTCCTAAGTTTCCGTTTTCTGTCTTAAATTTCGTTTTTGTTTAGCAACAAAACGAAACGAAAAATTACGTGTAATGAAAGGTTTTTAATACAGATTAATGCATTCAATTCGAGAATGCAACAACACGCGATTCGTTTATGGAATTTGTGAATGATTTTGATGTGTAAATAATACTGATCGAGTATTTGTTGTTGTTGATGTTAGCGAATTAGAGAAACGCCACGAAAATGAATTCAGTAAGTTCACCGATATGTATATATATTATAATGTGACATGTCTTTCTACTCCTCTATCCTAAGCATGCGGCTTCTATGTACCTAAATTCGTATGAGTCTGTCTCAATTAGATGGTTATTATTTATATCTTCTACATCCCCCTTTTTTCTGTAGCCACACACACAAAATTAAGACAGTTTACAACGTCGAGATTGAAACTACAAAACGTTTTAGAACACCACACACCTAAGCTATATCAAAATATTTACGCAAACCAGATTTTGACACTTCATCTCATTACTAAAACTCGAATTAATGATTTACCAAAAGTGCACGTTTCTTAAATCATCATTATATTGTGATGGTCAGTTTAAGAAATGCCGCACATTGATTTAAGAATCATTGCTATAAGCACGTGTTTGTTAGTTGTACGTATTTGCAAGATCTGGATGCGAAGAGGCTGCCGTTTGATGTTTTTATGTGGCTTTGGATAATATTAATGATGATGGCGGTTTCCATCGGAAGTTCCTGTTTGATTAACGTTTGTTTGTTTTGTTTAGGTGTTGCCTATGTCGGAGGAGTTCCGACGTGCCCTTTACGCATCTGCGGCACCATCCCTCGACGTCGACTTGACACCCCCAGATCTGGTTGGATCCACGGAGGTCCTGACCTACGAACACAGGGAGTCGCTATGCAGACACCTGCCGGCCAGAGCGGAGGGCTACGTTTGGACGCTGGCCTTCAGCACAAGTCAACATGGATTTTCACTAAATTCTATGTACAGGAAGATGCACAAACTGGAGTCTCCGATTTTGCTCGTCATCCAAGATACAGATAATAATGTAAGTATTGCCATTGTTTTCACATCACAAGAAATATCCTCACTAAGGTCATTGCCAATTGGATGGATGAATAAACAAGCATCAATTAATACTTCCCCTGCGATTCATCGCGGCACAGGATGGATAATATTTCACTTTGTTTCCTGTTTTGATCAGCAAAATAACAAACTAAATTTTACTTTTCTCAGCTCTTGGAGCAATATGTTTGTTACGCCTTTGTTGCATCCACAATTCGGTTATTAAACCCAGTTCTTCGGAACATTAAATGGTGTCGTGTTAAACAGCTCAGCAAATATGTTTTTCTACTTTTCGTTCATCCCAGTTGCATAATTATTTTCTTTGTACGAACTTTGCAGCTTTGTAATCGGTCATATTTTCCATTTTCTTTGCCATTACTTGAGATTTTCCAAGTTTATTAGTCAATTTCTTAGTACTATTAAAATTAATTTCCAATTTCGAAAATGACTACTGATGATTACTACTGACAATATTATATTTGTTAAGTAAATTTAAGAATTTCTTAAGTAAGCAAATATTTAAAACTAAGAACAGATGAGAGCATTTGTCATCGTGTTGACTCATCGAAATTCGTTTACACGCAACGTTCATGGAATTTTCAAACAGCTTAACTCTAAAAGTATATGGATGATCTTAAATATTTAAAAAAAAATACGTTTTTGATAGATCCCATTAATATTTGATCGTTTTATTAAATATATACTAAATTGTAATTTTTTTTGTAGGTTTTCGGTGCCCTGACGTCGTGCGCTCTGCAGGTATCCGACCACTTCTACGGCACCGGCGAATCCTTGCTGTTCCGGTTCAGTCCACAGTTCCAGGTGTACAATTGGACTGGAGAGAACCTATATTTTATCAAAGGCAACAACGAGAGCCTCAGCATAGGCGCGGGAGACGGCAAATTCGGTCTCTGGTTGGATGGTGACCTCTACCAGGGCCGCTCCGAGCCATGCAAGACCTACGGAAACGAAGCCCTTACGCCGAGCGTGGATTTCGTCGTCAAGACGTTGGAGTGCTGGGTCTTCATCTAAAAGGATCCACCCATATCGCACGAGGGTTTGAGAAACCAACAACAACAAACACAAATTTCCTTTCATTATTTTTATTTTCGTTTACTTTATTTTTTACTTTTCATTCATCTTTCGTTTTATGGGAAATATATTTTATATAAGATACGTGCACCGCATTGCCAACTTTGCTGAACGCTGTTCGCAGCTCGGTGTATATCCGTTTTCGGGGTTTATTATAATAAGAGACGGCCGAACAAACAAAAAAAGAAAACAAACTAAAAATAGTACTACTAAAGGAAGAAGAAGAAGAAGTAATAATTGCAATTGAAAATATGCGGCTTCACTATTGTAATAGTAATATAAACAAAAAATAATAATACGGCACACGATGTTTCTTTCATTCGCGAAGCGTCTATACGTTATTCTGTTCAATTTTCGTGTTTTTACTTTATCATGTCACGTTTTACGAATGCGCGGCGTTGTTGTTACATATTTACGTTATTATTACTTTTTTAAATTAATTTATTCGTTGCCTGGTTTATACATACATATATTATATATATTATAGATAGAGAAAGAAAGATATATAGTTTGTTTCCTTCACAGCTTTGCCAACCGGAATTAGTTCGTATTTTGTTTTTGTTTTTTTTTTTGCTCTCGATTTATATAATATCATTAGGGGATGTATTGTACTTTCTAGGCGTGGCATGTATATTTTTTTTTGGGTGTAAAGTTCGATTGAAAGTATTTCGTTTGGCGGCTGGATCGGAGAAGAAGTAGAAGAAGCGAACTTTATCGATGAAGAAGAAAGAACCACACTTTCGAAACGGAAAAACGATCGAAGAAGAAACGCCGAAAACTAAAGCGAAACAAAAACAATTAATTAATTCGTGAGGAAGGCGAAGAAGCTGAAGCTATTTACGTAATCACTAATTAATACGAGTATATATTGAGGTTAAATTAAGGATTTAGTCATTCAGTGTGTACCGCTTGGCTTTAACAACGAATGACCTCTAACTTTGTCTGTCGTTAGTAATGTGTTGATTATGACGATGTTACGATGATCAAGGGAGAGTTGTCGTTTTTGTTTTGTTTCGTTCCATGTTCGTTCATTTTTGTTTGTTTGTTCGTTCTTCCGTTTTCGTTCGTGCATGGAATCGCGTCCTTTCGGTTATCTAGAAACCTCGGCCCGCGGATTGTGTTGTAGCAATTTACCGGCTGTAGTGTGTCTGTCTGTCTGTCAATTAGATGCGTAGATGTCACGCATATATCAGTTGTCAATTTGTCATTAAGATAATTATTATTCTTTGTTTGATTGAAGTTATTACAAAAAAAAAACGATATAAATAAAACCAAAAAAAAAAAATCATATTTATGCAGGGCCACCGATAGATTCTTATTACTGTTTATTATTGGCTACTAATTTCCAACATCCTATTGATGATTGTTTCGTTTTCACCCTTCGAAGCGAAGATTCTAAAAATAAAGAAAAAAAAAACTGTATAGCTGCCAGAAACTGATAATAATGCATTGATTACACTCGTTTTTTCCTTTCGTACCTGGCGGCCCTGCAATCTAAATGTTTATTAGAGGCTGTTATATAATGCGGTGCGGCCATTTTTTCTCAACATCTGAGCATAACGAGTGGACGATGAAGAGGAAACACGGGGTTGTTCTGAGTAGGCTGTAACTTGAACCAATTTAGTGAAAGAAAAAAAAAGAGAAAATATTAAGAGAGAGAGAGAGTGAGTGAGAAGTGGAGATATTTGGATGTATTGAATAAAGAGTTCTTTGCGAAAATATATATTTTTTGTACAATTGATAATATTTTTCGATATTCGATTGATTTTTGGGGAGAATTGGACGGACCGTAATAAATGAAAAATGAACAAAAAAAAAATGAAGAAATGAGTAAAATATTTAACTAGGATCTAGAATTTTGATGTCTATAAGTTGTGTACTATAACGTTTATGATAGATATATTTATCTGTATAAAAGAAAAACGAAAACGAGTAAACTGAAACGAGCAACAGCAGCAGCAACATTGTAAATAAACAAAGAAAGGAACAAAAGAGAGGATGATGAGTGCGAGACGAGAGGCGAAAAACGCGAAGCAGCTGTCGCAGGAGAAAGAGAGAACATAACATATTGCAGAAAAATAAATAAATATAAATATATTACGTAACATTTAGCCGGATTAGTTGTAGTCGTTTACTTGGACACACACAAATTTGCAAATGAGGAGAAATGTTAACTTTTCGTTTCTATTATTTATATATATATATAAATGTTAAACACAAGAGATATTTTTTTTAGTGGATTATCCTAGGACGCTAAAGATATACATACATATATATATATTAATATAATTATTACTGTGTTTATTTTCTCTGTGCTTTAGCTAATAATTCTTACATTTTATAATCTTATTTTATATATTATACATATTATTTATTTTTTATTTCTGTGTACGAAATATATTTTAATCCACAAATTGTTCGCCTTATTATTTCCATTACAAGCAATACCTAACTTCATCCAAAATCTTTGCACGTTGACGATCAATTTATATGCAACGTATAAATCTGATACATATTTCAGTCACATCTATTCTAGTTAATGTTATTCAATATTGGCTACGTTTCTCGGTATTCTATCTAGTGTTAATATCTTAATTGAATATTTTATACAGTTTTCACGTTTCTTTTTTAGCTTCGTGCAATTATTAGAATTGGAGGTAAGTGGTTACTGTCTTCATTTATTATAATAAAATTCGTTAAGATGAAGTTCTTATAACTGTACTTTTTCAAACTATTTTACTAAATGTACATAATTTAAGGATTCGAATAGAGATTAAAGAAGTAAACCGATATATTATTTTCATTAATTGATACTAATGGATTGTTCGCAAAGCGCTAATTGATCGTTTACAAAAGTTTTGAATAAATAATGCACTAATTGAAAAAGCGATAAAAGTGTAATAATAACAATCGCAGTCGGAAGCAAAACTTTCCTAATTATTTTCTAAACGACACTTCCACCCTACACGTCTACAAAGCAATTCGTGGACGAAGTTAAAGCACGTGCAACAAGATGTTGCCGGATATGGAGGATACCAGAAGCAACCAGAAGTTTGAAGAATGCATCCGAAAGATGCTTTACGAAAACGATACAATTCTGCATGCGTATTCAACAGACGCTTTTCTTGGACTATCCATACCAATGCAATTCATAGATTTGCAGAAGGATTTGAAGAGCATACAACCAATGCAGAGATTCTTCGTTTATCTTATTGTTATTAAAACTATCATCGATTTGGAAATGTTCTTTGGGTTGATTTATCGCACCGTCAACTACAATTCTCAATCTAAAGTTCTTCTAGTTTACAAAGGAAGCGCGAGGCTGGAAGACGTTTTCGAAGTGCTTTGGAAGTATTACGCAATCAACGTTTTGTTGATCGACGAGTATTTGAATGTATACACCTACTATCCTTTGTCAAGAGGAAACTGTTCCGTATCGCAGATTGAGTTTTTGTCTAAATGCGAAGATTTCCATATGGGTCAATTCGAGCTATTCAAAGAAGGTAACGTTAAGTATTTTCCCAACTGCACGATGAACACTCACATGAGTATCGTGACGCATTACACAACACGCAACGGTATCGAAGTTTCTATGTTCCATGGAGCAATGGAACAGTTAAAAATGAAGATTAACTTTTTACATTCGGATTACCCTGATGCGGGTCTAGATGATCAGAACAATGGTACGTACCAATACATGCTAGGTGATTTGTTCAAGAAGAAATGCGATTTGGTCTTTGGGTTCATCTCAAGTTATAAAAGATTCTGCATGGATTTCGATTGCTCTATTCCGGATAGCGTCTCGCATATTGCCTTCTTCGTTCCGATCGCTCTGCCCTCGGAGATTTGGAGGAACATCTTCAGCATATTCAGTTGGCACGTTTGGCTATATATTTTCTTCGCTTTTGCGTTGATGTCCGTAATTTGGATGGGTTTCGATAGAAGTGAATCATTTATCAACAGATGCTTGTATTTGTTCGGGATATTTTTTCATTCCGTTCCCAGACAACCTACCAACTTTAAATTAAGAATCCTATTCCTGACTTGGACGTTTTTCTGTTTCTTAATCATCAAGGGCTTTGAAAGCGTCATGACTTCTTTCCTGAACAAATCTAGGTACGATACGCAAATTACCAACGTGGACGAACTGTTGATGTCCGATTTGAATTTCGGCGGTTTCGTCTTCCTCAAGTTCTACTTCTCCTTAACAGACTCCGAGCAGAACGTGCAGTTGTACGATAATTTTGTACAGTGCAATAAAACATATACGTGTTTCGATAAAGTTGTGGATGATAGAGATTTCGCTCTGCTCGAAGATACTAGGATGGTGCATCACGTTATGGACAGCAAAAAACAGAAAGCTTATGAATTACCGACGACGATAACGGTATTTCCAAGCCTCATCTTGGACAAAGGATCACCGTATAAAGATAGGATCAATGAGGCTATCATTCGTTTGTACGAGAACGGCTTGCAATTAAAATGGGACAAGAACACTCACGCAAACGTGGAAGAGGAACATAACGAGGCTATAGCATTAGGCTTGGAACACTTGAAATCTACCATCGGAATTTACGCACTTGGAATTTTCATGTCCATCTTGTGCTTTTTCTGGGAGATAAAATTTATGATGATTCGTAGAAATAAATAATATTAAATGTATTATTTGCACTAAAATTCAAAATAAATCTGTTGTAATATCTAATGCGTGTATTTAATAAAATATCTTCAGTTACTAAATATACTTGCTATTTACTTAAGTCCGAAAATCTCGTAATTTCAATATTTTTTAACTAGAAAATATGCAAAGCATGACAAATTATTTTGTTCAATATTTTGTCAATTTATGATAATATCACATTAATGATTTTTTTTCTAAAATAAACTAATTTCAATTATATTTTTTGTAAAAAAAAAATTATGTAAATTATAAATAGGTAGAATTTATTATATTCTATTTATTAAAAGGCTTGAGAAGAATTTAAAAAAACTACAAGTAAATAGATTCATTACTTTGCTTTCTCGAACTAATGCAATTAACGCTGCTCATTTACACTGTTTTCAAAGTTCTAAAGTTTTCACTAAAACAAACAAGTTTCAGCTTAAATCAGAACTGTGTCAATGCATATGCATCTCATTCTCTCGTATAAAGATTTATAAATCAAAAGTTTGCAAATTGATAATTTATTTCCGAGACCACAAAGGTTTCACCGCGTAATGGAAACAAATTGCTGTAATTGATTGTCTCATAAATGAATAAATCATTGGGTAATTGAAAAAGCTATAAAAGTGTAACGACATTATAAAAGTTATAAACGTCGTTTCCGCATAAATACCTCATTCAATAATCAAAACTCTGTAAAAACGCGTTTCCTACTTCACAGTAAAAACAACTATGTTGTTTAATTTTGATTTGGATTTCAATAATAGTTCTATTCACGAATGCATCAACAAAATGATAACCGATGACCAATCCATCCTGCATGCATATGCGGATGAGACTGTCTTCCAATTTTCGGTACCAACGCAATTAATCGATTTGGAAAGTGACTTACGTGAAATACAGCCGATCCAAAGATTCTTCGTATACTTAATAATGGTCAGAGGAATAATTGATTTGGAGATATTTTTTGAGCTAATTTATCGCACTGTTAATTACAACGCAAATGCAAGAGTTCTCATCGTCTATAAAGGAATTGCAGGTAAAGAAAGCGTTTTCAGAGTACTCTGGAAGTATTACGCAATCAACGTTTTGCTGATTGATGGTGATTTGAACGTGTACACTTATTACCCTTTATCACAAGGTAATTGTTCTGGATCAAATATGATTTTGTTGAGTCACTGCGTTGATTTTGAAATGGATAATTTTATTTTATTTGAAGAAGGCAAAGTTAAGTATTATCCTAATTGTGAGATGAGAACGTACATGTTTCATCATTCAGCTTATACTGATGAGAAGGGTATAGAGAAGATGATGTTTGAAGGTATCATGAATCAGTTGAAGATGAAAATCAACTATTTACCGTACGATTATCCTGGGCCAGGTTTAGACTACGATAATGGCACTTACCTGTATATGCTAGGAGATTTATTCGATAAGAAATGCGACGTCGTTTTCGGATATATTAGCAGCTTCAAGAGGTTTTGTCAGGATTTCGATTGCACTACTCCTCATTGCGTCACACATATGGCGTTCTTTGTGCCATTGGCGAAACCTCTCGAACTTTGGAGGAATATCTTTTACATTTTCAACTGGCGCATTTGGGTCTGCTTGCTTTTCCTTTTCTTGCTGCTATCTGCCCTTTGGGTAGCTTTGGACGATAGTAAAGTTTTTCTGAGAAGGTATATCTACTTGTACGGAATATTTTTCCAAACTGTAGTGAAACAACCAACTGGTATCAAATTAAGAACAATATTCATGACTTGGACGTTATTCAGCTTCCTGGTGATCAGAACGTTCGAAAGTTTTATGGTCTCGATCCTGAGCAAACCAAGTTACGAGACTCAAATCTCCAACGTCGACGAAATGCTCGACTCACAGATTCGCTTTGGTGGCTCATATTTCCTTAAGTTCTATTTTGAAGGAAACGATACAGGCAACAATATGAAACTGTTTAATAATTATATCACGTGCTCAAAATTGGATTTCTGTTTGGATAGGGTTGTGGAATTACAGGATTTTGCAATGCTGAAAGATAGTAGGAAAGTGCTATACAATATGAAGAATCAAAAGAAGGCTTTCAGGTTACCAACGATTATAACTGCGTTCCTAACATTGTATTTGGATAAAGGATCGCCATACAAAGAGAGAATCGACGAAGCTACAATTCGTTTGTACGAGAATGGTCTTCAGTTCAAGTGGGATGATACATATAAGAAAATTGAAAGACAAAATAAACCTGATGATCATATTGCATTACGCTTTGAACATCTAAAATCTACTATATTCATCTACTTTTGTGGTATATTAATATCGTTCATATGTTTTCTTTGGGAAATTCGAATTGTGTTTTTATCTAAATGTTTTAATTAACAATAAACATACATTTGTAACGTATAAAATTAAGTAGATGAACTAGATTAGTTTTAATTGTTTTCTTTATAAACTATTATTTTTAAATTTGATAACGTTTTATGTATTTCATTAAATAAATAAAAAAAATGCTTTCAAATATTTTTAAAGAATTCTGAAAATTAGTAACTTTTAGTTTCATTTATTTGAAATTAGTGAAAATCAAATTAACTTAGAGAAAAAAAAATATATATTTGTAAGCAAATTAATTAAATAAACTAAATTAGAATTAATGAAACATACTTTCATATTGTTGTATTATTATGGCGGATAACCTACGTTAATAAAAAAAAACTAATATAATAACAAATGCAATCAACTTTGGTTGCATAAACGATTAAAGTCTAATAAATGTTTAATTAAAAATTGAAGCATTTCTTAAGAAATTTGGAACTTTAAAGAGTCGATCCAAATTTAGTATATAATTAAGATATCATTAAATATTGAAATCAGTAACTATATCTGTTAAAAACTATTTTTTTTAATTCTCTGGATTAGAGTATAATAAATGTATGTCGTTAATATCCACAATTTACATTTGCAACGCATTCAAATAATCTAATATTTACTTACCTTAAATAGCAAATTATAATCTAGGGGATGTTAAAACTCACTTAAAAAAATCTTCGTTGTAAGACTTTTCTGAAATGTCATTTTTTTGTTGTAACAAAAGTAATTGAACCTATATTAACAATGCAACTTTGATCTTTAGAAAAATATGTGCATTTATTATTTTGCAGGATTTTCTAGGTTTTCACGGTTCCAGATTTTTTTTTCATAAAATTTCTTAGACTTAGTTTTTAGTCAGTTTTTTTTAAACACATTGATTAATAACTGTAATTAAAACATTAAAAAAATGAAATTAATGTAATACATTTTATTTGAACAGTTTATACAAGTTCTTGTAATACTATTCGAGGCAAAAGTTAACAAAGTATAATAACTTATTATAAGTAAAATAAGCACTTAAATAAACGTTTCAGCAATAAATTAAATGTAATGTACGGAGGAGTACAGATGAACGATGAGGGAGATCGGAAAGATGTTTGCATGCGAATGATGATGCTGTTAGAAGCTTCTCGGAAGAGTGATCTCGATTTGATCGACGTACGGGCTGGAAGTGACGAATCTCAGATCCCTGCGCTTTCTTCCGCTCATCGCCATGGGAACCAACAAGGCCATACCAGCAGGAATCATTCCTGCTCCGACCGCAGCCAAAACGGAAGCCGTATCCGGATTGTTGTCTTTGACGCCTTGCTGCAGCTGGTAAGGGAGCTGGTAGTGAGCTGGTGTCGCGACTGTCGGCTTGATTTTCAACGGCAGAGGTTTCATCTGGTACTTGGTCCTAATCGGATTTCTGGTCTTGATGCGCTGTCGTTTGGCGTGCGCCTTTTGCGCCTCCTCCACCGTTTGGAACGTCGACTCGACCTGCAGAAGACCGCCGTGCGAAGTGGTCATGTTCACCTTGCCATTCTTAAGCGGCGGCAGCACTGTAAGTTTGACAGATTTATGAGCGTCAATGTGATTGTCGTTGGGTCCGAACTGCATGGATCGTTGCCTGTTCTTCGAGTACTTGTAACCCTTGGTCGTCGATAATAAAACCCACTCACCGTCTTCGTTGAACGGATGCGTCGGTAGGAATTCCGCGTTGGTGCCGCGACGTCTGTTCGCGTATTCCTGATGGCTGGCGTGGTCCGGGAAATGCGGAGCTTCGCCGTCGGTGATGATGTCCGTATGTTTGTTGCAATCGTGATGATGTTGCTGTTGTTGCTGGGGATTCCTGTTCGGGATATTGATTATGGGATGAACGTGAACTTTTTGGTTGTAGATGGCTGATGGTCTGGCGAACAAGGGTTTAGGACTTTCGACTTCGACGTCTTCTTGGTCTTGGAAGTACTGGGGTTTCGGACGTTTGGGGTAGTCGGGGTAATCGTTGCTGTAGAACCTATCGTTGTCTTGCGTCGGTTTATCGTTTTGATGCCACTTGGAGATTTTGCTGACAGACCAGGGGACTGCGTCCATGCTCACCCAACCTCTCTTATCATCGTAGGGATGGTTGTGTTTCTCATAATTCAGCATATTCCACGCTTTCGACTTGTCCTTTCCCTCCTCGACATCCTTCATATGAACTTCGTCCTGCTGATGATGCTGCTGCTTCTTGAACTTCTCCGCATAACTATTAAGGAAATCCTTCAGTCTATGCGAATTATCCTCTTCGTCCTGCGCTTCATCCTTATCCATGCGGTCCAATTTCTTTTTAGTATTCGGTTGCAACGTCCTGTGCTCCACCTCCGTCCTGAAGACTCTATCACCCCTGACCTCCGTATTCTTGGGCTCATCCCACATCGGATCCGCTTCGATAATCCGAATGGGATGCGATCCCGGTACCTCCAGATCGTAAGACCTGGTGAACGCCGCCGCTCCGCCGACGATCATCATAGTTGCAATTACCATCAACATCCTGGGCACTTGTACAACCGAGGATGGAACTTGGAATGATTTGTGAATTGATGCCATGCTCTTAATGTAGTGTACAGGTTCCATGCCCCACTCCCGTGGAACACTCCTCCTTGCACCTCTCTCAGCAAACTCATCTTCTCTCCTCCACGCTCGGATTCCGCACGAACCGCGTAGAAAGCCTTTCTCCGCGTTTTCTTCTCTCCTTTGTCTTCATTTATTTTCGTTTTCCACGTTTTTTGTTGTTTGTTTTGTTTTAATTTCTCGTCCATTTCCATTGTCGCTCCGCGCGGAATATCCAAATAACCCCGTGTCAGTGCACGTGTTTTTCACGGTCGAGTTGAGAGGCGGCGCGTGCCTGGACAAGTAGCCCAGAGGATCGAGTTCGATCCACGAAATCCATCATCTCTCTGGGTTCACGATCACGATTCTCTCTCTCTCTGTGTACGAATGTTGCACAGAAAGATGAAGAGGAAGAAAATAACGCGATGCACATTTGCCTCGGACTCGGGCGTGCTTTTGATTTACAACTAGGAAGAGCTGCTTCGTGGTGGAAATGCATCAGATAAGTGCGTCGCCGCGAACACCTTATTTCTCATTCTTCCTTAAATGGTTCACGATATTGCTGTATCCGTAACGGTTTCCTCCAGATAAATCGTAATTATTGTTAGATGCGAAATTTCAGATATTGTTTACTGTTTACTGTTACCATATTTCATTTGCAGCTTCAAAACGAGCGCATTCTCATTTAAACAAATAACTTTACATCAAACACATGCACACAATAAAAAATACAACTAGAATTGATCTTTTTCTATAGGAAAAAACATAAAAATATATATAATATTTGGAAAAAATGAATCAATATTGTTTTTACATTACTTAAGTTAAAGTCTTTCTTTATACTTATTAACCCTTTCCAGCACAGTGATTCCAATTGGAATCATTAATTCTTAAATACAATTTTAATGTCTTTCGACGATTAAAACTGCTGGATGCAACTAATGTTAATTGTTAATTTTTATTGAATATTGAAAAAAAACAGGTAAGAATTTTTTTTATGATTAAGTAAGTACTTTTATACAGATTTGAATAAAACATTTTTTTTTTTAAATAAATTTCGGCTGGAAAGGGTTAAATTGATTTGGAAAATGAAATATTTACTAAGATATTTTATTGTCATTTTTGTAAATGCCCTAATCAGCAAAGTAAAAAAGTACATTTTGCTAACCAAATCATCTTATTGATTATTAAGTTATAAGATATTAATCAATATTTAATCAAAATTAGACTTGTAATGTAATGATAGTATGCAATATTTATAGAAATCCGAAATAGTTGTACAAGTTATTTCCTTTTATAAGAATTATCCAAAGACTTAAATAAATGTGGGTTAGAACAGAACGAAAGTAAGTAAACTGCGATTCGTATGCCTTAGAAAACTAATAACGAAGTGGCGAAGACCAGCAAGAAATTCAAACAGCAAACGAACAATATTTCTCTCGATGGACAAGAAAGACCGAAGTGTGACCTAGAAAGATAATTGCTCATCCCAATTTAACGTCGAAGCATTTCGGTTCGACATTTAAAGTGCGGTAGAACAATAATAAGAGAAATCACGGAAGTTGCGTTCGCGTGCAATGGAACAATATTAGCGACAAACGTAAAAAAACGCCAAAACCAAAAAAGAAGAAAAACGAGAAATAGCATTTATATAAAAGTAAAAAGTGTTTTGTGCACATCGAATGACCAATTTCACGGTGTTTAAGTGGCGCAATGGCATTCTCGAAATGAAATGAAATCTTCTCTTTGTTGTTGTTGTTATTATTGCTGCTTTTTATTTCTCTTCTTGTCGTCGTCGCCAATGCCGTTCCCCTTTCTGCGCGTTTTAAATCTTATTTAAATAAGAAATTTTAATGATTAAGTTATTACTATCATAAAACGTTTCTTAAATTTCATTCTTATTTTATATTTTTCTTTAGATGTATCATTATTATTAAAAAATCTGAATCTTATATATAGTTTTTAAATTTTTATTATTTTAAGACACAATTATGATAATATTTTAATTAATGATCTTTAAGAAATTTGGCGGTACACTTAAGATTCTCTCACGGCACACCAGTTGAAATTCACTGATCTAATACTGTAATCAACGGAATTCTGCTAATTCCAATACATCCTGCTATTTATACTATTTCTGTTATTTGTACTACTTTCGAGAATTTTTGCTCTTTCTACCACTTTCTGCTATTTCTATAATTTATACTATTTCGTTTCAATCTCAAGCTTCATATTAGTCGATAAATTTCAATTCCTTTTATAATGTCATTTATGATATAACAATTTTTTTTTAATAATTTTAGTTTTTTTTCTAAGTATTAAACCTTACATTTTATTTATTTATAGTTATTTCAATTGAAATGTGATTTGTATAAATGTATTTTTTATGATCTAGATTTTGTAAGTTCATCGTTCTTGTCAAGTAACGCGATATTGAACGCTTGTAATTGTAGCACATACATAATAGGATATCCGTAATTAATATTGATAACGGTAAAAACGTTATTGTTAATGAGTTTGTCGGGAAATCAGAGAAAGAATAAAAAGTAATCTTGAGATTTACATATTTTAATACATAACATGTAACATACACATTTTTAATAATTAAAAAAAAAATATCAATAATATCCTCCATCAGACAGAAAATACTTTTGTAACACAGACATATGCGATGCGTCCGGTCCCTTAGAAAACAAAGGAACTGCTATCGCGCTTAAAGAATTGGTAATTGGTTTTGTTTTATTCATTTTGATCATAATTTAGTTGTGCACAGGCATGGACACGGATGGCTTAGCTTCCGCCTTGCCCTTGCGCCACAACGATGTGATGGTCTTGGTTTGAGTGTAGAAGTTGAGGCCTTGCTTGCCGTAGAAGTGTTGGTCGCCCAAGAAGCTTCCCCTGGATCCGGTGAAGCTGAACATCGGGAGTGGCACGGGGATGGGCACGTTCACGCCAACTTGACCGACGTCGATCTCGTTGACGAATTGACGGGCGTGGGATCCGTTGCTGGTGAAGATGGCAGTACCGTTGCCATAGGGATTAGCGTTGACGATTTCCATGGCTTGCTCGAGGGTGTCGGCGGTCATGACGCAGAGGACCGGGCCGAAGATCTCCTCCTTGTAGCATTCGTGGTGGGTTTGGACTTCGGTGATGAGGGTTGGTCCGACGAAGTTGCCGTTCGGGTATTTGTCGACCTTGACGTTACGGCCGTCGAGGACGCACTTAGCTCCCTGCTTGATGCCGGCTTCGATGAGGTCGTGGATCCTCTGCTTGGCTTGCGGGGAGATCACTGGGCCTACATCCGTTCCTGGCTCGTGACCGGCGTTGACCTTCAATTGCTTGGCCCTGGCGGCGATGTCTGGGATCCAGTCCCTGGCCTCTCCGACGAGGATGGCCACGCTCAAAGCCATGCATCTTTGTCCGGCAGCTCCGAAGGCGGCACCGGCCAATTGCTCAATGGTGGCTTCCTTGTTGGCATCGGGAAGAACGACTGCGTGGTTCTTAGCTCCCAAGTTGGATTGGATACGCTTTCCGTTGGCAGCTCCCCTTTCGTAGATGTGTTGTCCAGCCCTATCAGAGCCGACGAAACTGATAGCCTTGATGTCTTTGTTGTCGCAGATGAAGTTTACGGAATCGTGGGTACCGTGAATTACCTAAAACATATATAAATATTACTAACTGCATACAAAATATTCCTATTATCGTTTGAAACGTTGCAATTACTTTTAGAATACAAAATATCTTTCAAAAGTATTTCTCCTAGTATTCATTATTTAATTATGTCATGTGGAAAGCAAGTAATAACTTAATTACAAAATTAATATTCTGAGGAATATGTATTCAATTATTTATGTATATCTTACATTGACAACGCCTGGTGGGCATCCAACTTCTTGCATGAGTTCCATGAGCATCATGGTCGCACCTGGATCACGTTCGGAAGGTTTGACGACCATCGTGTTACCGGCAATCAAAGCCATTGGGAACATCCAAAGTGGGATCATAGCTGGGAAGTTGAATGGGCAGATACCAGCGGTGACACCAAGAGGAAGCTTGTACGAGACGATGTCCATGTCCCTGGCGATGTTCTGCAGAGATTCACCTTGGAGCAAGGTACCGGCAGAGCAAGCGTGTTCGACCACCTCTGAAAACATGAAATAGAATACATTAATAATCTGCCAAAGTCATCCAAACTTTAAATCACTCACGCAATCCCCTCATGACGTCTCCTTCGGCATCGGCCAAGGTTTTGCCTTGCTCGGTGGTGATGTTAGCAGCGATCTTCTTGATGTCCCTCCTGATCACGGCTTGCAACTTGAGCATAAGCTGCTGCCTGGTGAGGACGGAGGTCTGCTTCCAGGTCTTGTAAGCTTCCTTGCAGGACTCCACCGCGGATTCCATCTCAGCCTGAGTGGACACCGGCACCTTGGTTACGACCTCGTTGGTGGCCGGGTTGTGCAGATCCACCCATTGTGTGGCCTTTGAGTCTTTGAATTCTCCGTTGATGAAGAGTTTCGTAGTCGGCGCTACGTTCGAGGAATATCTGCGTAAAGCATTTACGATTGGGAGAGCCTGAAGGAATCGAAAACAGGAAATTATTAATAATTTTTTTCTTATTAAATCCTGACCTTTATTGTTCGTTTCGCGACCGAATGTTAATTAACCCGAACACAAATCGAATTTAAATTCCGTTTATCAAGTCATTCGTTGGCAAGGTTACGCGAGTACGTTTTTTTTTTAATTGTTTGTTGTTGATAACGTGCCGCATCAGCTGAGTTTCCGAGCAAATGTTGTAGGATTTCGGCGAAGGTCAAAGGAATCTCCTGATTTATCATAGCGATTTGGTAAGAGAAAATATATAAGAAAGCGTAATCGTAGTGTAATTTTCCCCGCGTCGCTCTTATCATTTAGCGCCAACGAAAATATTACATAAAAAGAGATCATGTTCTTTTTATGCTTATCTAATGATACCGAACTTATGTAACGTGTAATCTCTTTTTCACAGTTATCGGCTTACAAAACTTTCCAGCTATTGACACCAAAATCAAATTTGTTCTTAATTAACACGTCTACAAAACGTCAATATTCACTACATTTTGTATTTGCCAAGAACTCTCAAATATTCAATTGTTTCTAACCTTTCTTCTAATTAATTTATTAATATTTTTTTTTATAAATTTGGTATTAGTTTTTTTTGAAACTTTTCTATTCTATTAATAGCCAAAATATTCAAAACTTTGTTGAAAATATTATCTTTTTTTTATTGTAAACTATAAAACTTATTATTTCATACATAACAGAAGCAACAAATGTGTTTTATATTTCTAGTATATTTTGGTTATTACTTAATTATTTAAAATATAATGATTAAAATCAATAAAAACTTGTTATTCAATATAAACTGTGCAACTATGCAACTGCGCTTCTAATCTAATTTAGTGTCGTCAATTGAACTGAAATTGTTTATTGTTGTTTTGTTTTGCTGATTTTACTATTACCAACCAGAGAGATTGCTTCGCGTGGTGCGTGGAAAAACAAGGACGGATCTCGTTGCATAATCATAATCGCTCGTTGCGAAATGAGGATGATGATTTAGTTGCAATATCTCTGGGTGTCCGATAACGTGCGATATGTAAAACTCAAAGTGATTGTCCGATTCCAAATTTGACCGTTTAATGTCAATGTCACGGTCAATTTCTCGTAGATGTCGTGATCTTTTCGTATGTGTATTATGGTGTAACCAGACTTGAATCATTTATATAAGAATCAACGTTATATAAGATTTATCTTATAATAAATTCAAAATGAATCCAAAATGATGAATGAGTTCACAGATTTAGTTTTATATAGTTATTTAAATTTAAACTTTAAAAATAAATGTTAATAATTATCTGTATGTTAAGAGTCTCCCAGTAAATTTAGGTTAGGTTTTCTAAAAATCGCTTTCTATTAGTTTCTAATCTCATAAGTGATTTTGAATTTGGATTCTACCGAATATTGTTTGAACACACCTATCTAAATTTGATTCAAATATGAAAGTGATTTAGTTTTTTTTTATATATTTTCAATATTTCTATTATTATAGAATTAAAGAAATTGAATTATCTTACACAAGGATATTTTAATCTTTAAATTCAATTATTTTATCTTAAAAAATACTTTAGTAAAACTTTTAATATTATAAAGGTTTTGTTATAAATGCACATTTTGTCTATTTGTATCTAAGTCAAAAATAGATATTTTTTAAATCTAGATCACTTAATGATTCAAAAACGAAACTTGTACCAAATTTGAAGTAACATAAGTATTGATCTTTTATACTTATATAATAGTAGAGAAAAAAAAGATATGTGGGAGAAATTATATTTTTAAAATAAAATTATTTGCGATATTCTGTTTTTTTTTTTGAGAACGTCCAAGGCGTTTCTATGAATACGCACATCTTCATTGGATGAATTGAAATGACCTTAATACTTCTGCCAATTGCTTATATCAACTAAACTGATTATAATATAGCAAGTAATAATTGAATTTAACGTGCACAAAAGATAGTTTATTCAATAGATTATTTTCAACACTTCTTTGCATAAAATCTGTAGATTGTTAAAAGAGAAATTGTATAGTAATAAAAATGACTTTTTCAAAGTAAATTTAGATAAAACAGGTTTTAAAATTTTAGTTAATATTAATATCATTAAATGATTTTATATAACATGTTTGAATTTAGAAAATGTAAAATTCTTGTTTGTTGCAAAAACGGAAAAATTAATAAGAATTAATCAAAAAAGTTTGTCTGATGAAATTTCTTTTTAATTATGAATGAAAAGATAAAAGTTTCTAAATTTGAGAATAACTGTAAGAATATTTTGTGTTCCTAATAGAATTACTATTGTTGTTCATAATTTAAACATAAAATGTATACAAATCAAAATATGAAAATAAGTTTTTGTGATGCTAACATTAAGTTATTTATATATATATTCATCATATGGTTAGGAATAATTTCATTGAAGTTTCGATTGTTCAATGATTGAATAACCAGTTTGGTTTGATTGTGAGTGATTGAATCGAATGTTAAATGGCGTGATGTGCGAGAGCGCGGCATTATTTAAATAAATCTACCAGGAAGTTTAGCAGCCTTTTAACCAAGGTCAACGTAAAAATATCTGGACTCTCACTCACTATGTAGATTAAAAACGCGTCGTGCGTGTGAAAACACGTGGCTCATTTTTAACATGCTCTTCAATTCTACGTTATTCGAATGTAAAAAATAATTGGACGCAACACGTTTAAATTCCTAATATTAGATTATCGAGGATTTATTTTTAGTTGATTCAAAATCTTTTCAAAATCCACCAATACTTATAAACAACAAATATAACCATATTGTTAAATCAAGTTCGACAAATGTTTAACTGTTGTTATTACATTAATTAGATGTATTTCATTTGGTTTTTGTAGATTGAATAGATTTTGTATGTTTGATTTAATGGTTAATACCTTATTCCTTGGTACGGACAACATCTTGACTTGAACCACACTCGAGGACTAACTAAAAAACTGTACGAAGCGCGCGTTTTAACGCGTCACGTCGACGCGCAAATTCGTAACAACCGCGCTTTCGAACACATACATCATGTTCACTTTTTTTTTTTGCTTTCGTTTATCCCGAATTTGTGATTTTTGGATTCTCATCCCGTTATCTCTCTGCTTGTTTTCTCGAGAGATTACGCTGACGACGTTATGCAATTACAGTTTTACGCATTTCATGTTTCACCATGGAACGCATTCGAACTGCGCCCACCACGTCATAACCAGTTCTTTTTACCAATTATCATTCTTTCTTCGGGATGAAGAAAAACCTTCGAGTCAATAAGTCAACTACTAGTACGCAGTCTTGTTTAGTATATTCATTACTTACTTTCGTCGATTTGCTTAGGTATATTTACATACGTCGCTAATAAAATCACAGCTTTTTTTTGATAATGAAAACAGGTTTATTTTTTATTGCAAACTGCAAAAAAAAAACTATATAAAATTTTCTAAGGTTGATTTGATTTTATGAAGTATATTTTAGAAAAAAAGATTGATTCTGATCAATTGATTTGTGTCAGTTCTACATCCTCTTGAAGATGGAAGAAAACAAAGTGCATTTTAGACTTTGATACTTTTCTTGTACTGGAAAGTAAAAAAGTTGTTTTTGCTAAAAGAACTGTAGGAAAGCAATTTGCTACGTTTAGAACTGGTGATTTCAAAAATTCCATTAACTGCAAGATTGTTTAATTTTTAGTCGACAGAAAACTGCCTTGAAAAGTTTACTGAAAAACCTTATAAATTCTGAAAAATGAAAAAAGGTTTATGGATCAAAATATAAGTTTTGATTTTTAATTTTTGTGAAAAATCAGTAATTACTTTCTGGACAACTCAATAGTTAAAGATTTTTGTGTATTAGATTTTGCAAAGTATATTTTCACACCATGCTAACATACCAAAAATACTACTTATTTCACAAATTAAAACAGTTCTTTTCTTACAACAAACAACAAAATCTATAAAATTATGTATTTTTGTTTTTGTACTATATAAATTAAAGATTTTTGTTTATTGCAATTTGCGTATTACATTTCTACACAATGTCATAAACCAAAATTCACTACTTATTTCAGTATTTTTCTTATTGTAACTTTCAATTAAAAATATAGAATTATTTACGGTTGTCTTTATATTTATCAACAGAAACTTTCGTTGATTTCATTTTACTAGTCATTTGCTATTTGTCTTTGTACTATGTGTGCTATTACGTAGAGATTGTTATGTGTTTGATTTTACGAAATAAATTTTTAAATCATAGTACCCAAGTAACCAAGAATCATTGCTTATTTTTAATATGAAAACATTCAAAATGAAAAAATAATAATATAGAATTTTTTACGTCTTTGATATGGTAAATACAGACTTTTGTGAATTAGATTTTTCGAAGGTTATTTTTACACGATTCCAAATTTTTAAATTACAATTAAAATATAGAATTGTATAGTTGCATCACTGATAAAAACAATACTTTTATTGTAAACTGAAATTAAGTATATAGATTTTTTTACTATTATCTCTCTCTATGATATTAATAAGAGATTTATGTGGTTTCGCTTTTCTGGAACAGAAAATAATACATTTAAAATGAAATATCAGTTCCGACAATATACCGCACTGTTTGAAACAAGACAAATCGATGACTAGGAAACCGCATACAAATAAAGAGACTTGACTGTAGAAGAGGGAAAATCATTCAAATCATAATTTTGTGTACTATTTTTTTAGAATGTATTTTTATTTTGCTCAATTTTTTTTTTTGGGAGAAGACAACTAGTCTATTACAGATTTACTAGTAATTGTAATACTATTCTATTCGTATAGCATTCATATTATCAATATAGAAAATATCAAGAAACTACCCTTAGTAATTGTAGATGAAATAATCAGAAATGAGATAATGAGAAATCATACATTGTATGATAATACATTTGATTCGAATATCATAACTCAAATTTCTTCTTCAAACCATACATTTAACAAATCTCGTTTTAAATACACATTACGATAATACGATTATCATGTACCAAAAGTATTTTATTTCCTAACCGTAAAACTGAATTGTACATTTATCTCATAACTCAAAAAAAAAATCATGTTACATTACAGCTTCTATAACAAATGATAAATAAACATACGTTTTTTTATGCTTATGTTGTAGAAAACAATGAGATAAGACGAAACGTTTCTCTAAATAAATAACTTAATCTACTTACAAATTAAGTATATAAATAAAAGTACAACTACCTTAATGAAGTGCATATTTTTTTTGTTATATATTTAAGTGCTTTTTTTTTAATAAATAGTCAAATGGTGCAGTTGAACGGCCTTTTGAGGTTTCTACAATTCATGCGTACAAGAGTCTTATTGATCATCGTGTACTCTTTTATATTATGTGTTACGTAAAGATTATTTAAAAAGAAAATCGGCGTCGTAACGTTTATTTGGTAATATCTTATGATGTCATTGGCTGATAAACTTTGCGTGATTGTTACGTCCGAATTGTAAATAAATCGTAGTTAAATTAAGTGAGTAAATTGTAAAGTTATGTAAGTTATAGGAATCTTTCAAGTTGCTGCTCAATTTGGCCAATAGATGGATAATTTACTTACAATTAAATGGCCGTATGATTCAAATACATTTGTATTATGAATTATATTCAGTCTTTGAGATATTTGATAAAAACAAATGTAAAATAATAGATGCATTAATATTTATGAAAGAACCAACTGAGTTACAATTGAAAATATGCTAAACTGGCTAAAACATGTGAACAATAATATTCGACGTTCACTACATTGGATTAAGGAACATATAGGAAATAAATAAAGGAAATGAAAGAATGGATAATTTAGCAGAGGGAGTATCTGACGCAGGAATTATGGAAGGACCTGTAGAAATTGAAATTGCTTATAAGAAATTTTCTTATAAAATTATGTAAATTATGTAAATTCAGGTATTATGATAGAATGGAAGAGATGGGATCAATCACAGATTATGACAAAAAAAACATTCCATCAATTTCTAAATGGAATCTGTAAAGTTTGTATAATTTAAAATATATCAAAGTTACAGTAAAATAATTTAATTTTATGTGTTAATTTGGTTGCCTATAATGCAGATACGTATTTTCAAAATAAACTAAATTTAGTAATAATAGTACTTTAAGAATAAAGAAAAATATAGCACAAGTTCTTAAAAAAAAATCAATTTAGATATGCTGTAGAAATCTATGTTTTATATTAACTAATTACTTGATTTTTTGTATGAAAAAGAAAATCAAAAAATTTGTTATAAAATAAATTTACAAATGTAATTTTATTTTTGATAAATGGATTTTTTTGAAAGCATATTTAAGTTTTGGGTGAATTGCATTTCGGATTAAAAGGATATTGAAGAAAATAATAAATTTTATTTTAAAATATATTTAATTGATGAAAAATTGCGATCAACAAAATAACTTAGTGACTAACATAAATAGACTATACAACAAAAAAAAAACTAATTGGTTCTTATACTATTTACAATAAATATATATATTTGAATATATCTATAATTATTTGCACGTAAAAATATGTCCTTAATATAAGGATGAATGGCGTTTGCTTGTATGTTTTATTGCTTTTTTTAAATAGTGAGCCTGTTTATTGCTTAACGATATGTTACATTCGGTTTCTTCGGTACAAGTATACTAACCTAAATTAAAGGATATTAAATTCGCTGTTTGCAGCAATACAGGGTCCCGCATTGAGTATATGGCACTTGCTTTGGAAGGGTGTGTGGAATATCACAATGAGGGTAAAGCCCTAATGAAAACCATGTTTTGAACACATGAATTACTTATACATATATACAAGAGGATCACAATGGAGACAAAGAAATGCTATAAAATATACGATTATTGCGTAGTTTTGGTAACTATAATTGACTGGGCAAGATAGCACAATTTGCTGAAGAGATGGTGGAGACGCACGCTGGAAATCAAGAAATCAGACCTTCGGGTTAGAATTGAAAACGACGTTTCGCAAATAGGATACAGACATGTGGGTCTTGCTGTTCTGGACGTTCGGGGTGTTCGAGTCGAAGTTGCTGACCAAGCGACATCTCAAAGTGTCCAAGTATGCTTCTCGATATTGCTTGTTCATTGTTACGTAAATGACCGGGTTGACGCAACATGCAAGGTATAAAAGAATGTAACCCATGACGTGAATCGGGGCGTTATGGACGTCCGGATCGAAGACCTTGACGATGGTCAGAGGAAGGTAGCAGACGACGAAGCAGGCGAAGATGACGATGACCATTTTGGTGATATGCATCTCGCTGCGTTTCGTGTTCACGCTCGTCGTGTGCTGCGCAAGACGTTCGTGCGACTTCCTCACAACCCAGTAGATCTTCGCGTAGCAGATGATGATTATTATGCAGGGAAGAGCAAAACCGAGGACGAAGAGCGCCGTCTTCGGGCTGTGTCCATTCTCGTCCGGATTGATCGAACACGTGCCCAGCTTGTTGTCGAATCCGAATACACCCCAGATCTTGAACAGAGTCGGTATCTGCAGACCGTAGCTGAAGATCCAGATGATTCCTATGTAGATGGCCACCTTCAGCTTAGTGTAGATCCTCGGGTACAGACCAGGAAACGCTATCAGTATGTATCGGTTTATCGATATCGTCGCGACGCTCAGCAATGAAACTCCCACACTTCCATATCTGAAAACAATAAAAATACAATAATTAATTTAGAAAGAACACAACTTTTTGAACTTAAATCTGCATGTACCAACTCTTACTTCAAAGTTGTCCAACGGGAATAGCACCATCACAACAAATTTATATTCAAATACATTGAATATAACAGTTTCCATAGAATATTCATTGGAACTTTAATATTCGTCATTAATCCGTTCCTGAGGCGAGGACGAATATCAAACGTTTTTTTCCCATAAGAATTAAAATATAATTTAGTACGTTTCCATCCCACGAATTTAACAAATAAAACTCGAAAATCATTGCAAAAACATCAAGGGGAGTCAACATCCATTTCTACTCATAATTTCAAATAAGTAATCCAATGTTGTTTGTTTTTCTCTGTTGTGTAAAATTTTCCGAAAGTATCCGAATGAATGGATACGCTCATTAACTAGAGCGATATTTGGGTGGTATTTGTCGATGAAATTCTGCATTTTTGTACAAGTGGACAGCCATTCCTTAATTTCAACACTTGGAACTAGCCCATCATCTGCTTGTCCCTCATTTGATGAAATTTAACTTATTGCTTCAACTTTCTGTACTTCATGATGCTCGAGTAGCTCTTCTTTTATGAGTTCATGCTATGATCTTCCACCAATTCTCTTACATCTGCACTATTAATGTTCAATCCCATGGATATGACCAGATTCACAATGTCATCAATAATATGCTGTTCTTGAAAACCATTGAAATCTGTTTCTAGCACACACTCTGGCCATAGTTTCTTCCATGCTGAATTCATTGTTCTGGTAGTGACTTCGTTCCATGATTTATCAATAAGCCTCAAACAATCTAACAAACAAACATTTTTGAAACAGTGCTCTCGTATATATTTCTTTAAAGTTAGAAATCACCTATTGATCTATGAGTTGAATTAGTGGGGTTGTGTTTAGGGGTAGATATTTAACGCGAATGAAGTTGTAGTTGGCTAGAAAGTCTTCTAAGCCAGGAGAATGAGCGGGAGCATTGTCCAAAGCTAGCAGAACTTTCACAGGTAAATTAACATGTTCTAGATATGCTTTCGCACTTGGAGCAAACACTTCATGAATCCACTCCAAGAAAAATTGCCTAGTTACACAAGCATTACTATTTGATCGCCACATGACATTCAATCTAATTTTTATGATATTGTTTGTCTTAAACACTCTCGGATTTTCGGTAGTTACACAAGCAATGGTTTAATTTCCACAGAGCATAAGTGTCAATCTATCTTTCATTGATTTATGACCAGGCAATGATCTTTCCTCGTTTGTGATGCATTTTTTTCTAAAATAAACCAGTTTTGTCGCAATTGAAAACTTGTTGAAGGAAATATTCTTCGGTGTCCACGAAGTTTTTGAAATATAGCACAAACTGTTTAGCGCTGCTTTTTGCTGAATTTGGGTATAGATCTTCATACAGTTGCTTGGCTTTTCGTATAATACAGCTTTAGAAACGCTATAACCAGCCCTTTGTTTTTTAGTTATCCACTCGAATAAAAACTCATTATATCATGCAGAGGCGAAGTTATTCCTATTACGAACTCAGCTGATTGAATATCATCTTCTATTTTTTGAAAATTAACTGTAATTCTCGGTAATTTCTTTTTGAATTCAATAGTTTTTCTCATCGATTTTCTTTTCGGTTTATTATCATCACTGCACTTTTTACGAGGCATAGTTACTTAAAAAAAATACTGTAAAAACTCGTAACGTGCTATTAAACAAAAGTTAAAGCGCCCTGGTCAATAGAAGATTATCTGAGTCACATATAAATAATTTCATCTATAAATACTTTTAACCATGAAGGATTTGTGCATAATCTGCCATTGACTACGGAAATTATGTAATTGCAATGTAATTATTTGAATATTTTATATTTCTTAAGTAACATTATTTTATTTAATTGAATGAAAATAAAATAGTTTTCGTGGTAATATTTGATTAACGATTGTATATCATTTAATATTTACCTCATCATCGGGACCAAAGTGCAGAGGATATCTCCATGAATCCATGTCCCGTGGAAGAATTGACTCGCAGCAAACGGAAGCACCAGAAAGCAGAAGAGTAAATCAGAAATACAAAGGCTGAAACACACAAAAATTATATGTTGATTATAAAAAAAATACAGTTTAAATATTCGTCGCGTATTTAAATAGATTCATTCCTATCATTGTTACATAAAAAAGTAATTACTTTTTTTACATTTGCTATTTAAGGCAGTCGTCTTCAATTACATTAATTAGTAATTTGATAAGGAATCAAAACATGTGTTGACCCAATTAAAAGATGACTAATATTTTGAATAATTGAAACAAGGTTGATTATACGGGTATATCAATTATGTTAAATTATTGATTTTTTTAATAAATGTAATAGATTTTACACATAGTGAAAATTATTCGATTTTCTGTTGATAAATCTTTACAACTATTGTTATACAAATATACTGCAAAACGGAGAATTATTAACAGTTTCTGCTACATCAATATTTGGGAATTTTCCCAGATTCAATGAACAATGAAAGTTTTTTTTTTCAATTAATTATAAAAGAACTTAAAAACTGAATCAAAGATGTGTCATTAATTCATAAAAAACGTATGTTCTTCATTGCTATTAAATTGTTGAGTCAATAAACTGTATTGATTCAATTTATAACGAAAATTACTTTGAAACAATTGAAAACTTATTGAGGGATATATTATTCGGTATCCACGAAGATTTTGAAATCTAGCACAAACGGTTTAGCGCTGTTTGTTGCTGATTTTGGGTATAGATCTTCATACAGTTGCTTGATTTTCTGTTGATAAAACTTGACAACTATTTTTGTCGGAAACGGAGAATTATTAACAGTTTCTGCTATATCAAACACATATATGATGAAAGTTTTTTTTAAATTAATTATAAAAGAACTTAAAAACAAAATCAAAGATGTGTCATTAATTCATAAACAAAGTATGCTCTGTATTGCCATTAAATTGTTGAATCAATAAACTGGAATGATTCAATTTCAAACGAAAATAACTTTCGTTTTTCGGTTCTTTCCACCACCGTTTGCGTCACGCACCGACGGTTTTCAAACTCTTTTCAAGAACTGTGTAGAAAAAGTCCATTTCCGTCCGCGATTGCGTTTCCTACGTCTGTCGGCTGCAGCTCGGTTTTGTTAAACTTTTCCTTTTCATTTTTATGCGTTGTTTTTACGCTTAAACGGTGACTCAAAACCATAATGGGATTACGTAGACGTGTTACGAACAAGGCCAGACCACCACCACCACCACCGATGATGATGCATTTACATCATTTCTTTTGCATCCGATATCAATTCAAGGCTTTTAAATATTTCAATAAATCTTTGATAAAGTTGATTATGATGATGTTACCTGGCTATGAAGGCGGCTGCCACCGTTCGAATCTTGGAATGCCTGACCAAAGCCACGACGGTCAGTAGGTTGCCTATGACGCCGATGACCATGATGATCAGCGTGATCACTCCGGCTGCTGTCAACATCGGTTTGGAGTACCTGGAACATAAAAGAAAGAACATGAGAGTGTTAAATGTTTTCGGGTTAGCAAATGGCATTTCTTAGCCGCGATTTTGCATGCAACACCAGACACAACAAATTTGCATTCCGCGGTAAACGCAATTTGAAGTACGCATTTTACATTGTTCCTATAAATAGAGATTATGTTGTTTGTTTAATTGCATCAATTTGAATTGCAACGAAGTTAGAGAAAAACTTCAGCCGCAAATTGATTCACAACAATAACTGTTGAATCATCAATATTTTGAATTTTAATTTTACTTTATTCAATTTATACAACAATAATAAATTACGTCAGAGAAAATACAAAGTTCATCCAAAGAAAACATTAGTATTAGTTTTTTTTCTATTTCAATTTTCATTATTAACAATGCAAAATAATGTTGTTACTTAAAACTATTCCTCTCATTGTTATATTTTGTTATATTGTCAAAACTACTTATTTATTGCCAACAAAAGGCAGATGTAAAAAATGTAATACCTACTAAATAATTTCCTTTTTCTTAAAGTTTCATTATATTATAACTACATCAGTTAGGGTTTGTCGGTTTTTTAAATCCGATTTTCGAAAACCGTTTTTTTTTAAATAAATTTATACAATTCGATAATTTGATTAAAAAACGGTTTTTGAGCATTTAATGATTTGATTAGAAACATAAATATTATGATTATCTTTTATAAATAAACGAAATTGGTAAACTTTAATAATTAATCTAATTATTAAATACAGTGGAACCTCGGTTAACGAGCATATTGAATTGTAAGAAAAATGACTCGCTTAACGAGCGACGTTTCGCATAACGAGTAACGATGAGAAGAGATTTCCTGGATTGCGTACTTGTGTACACATGTGTATGTGTATTTTTGAATATGTTTCACTAGACGAGTAAAAATCCGGAAATTTTGGAACGGATTAAACTCGTTAAGCGAGGTTCTACTGCACTTAATAACCATTATAAATAATTTCGTGTATTTAATACTCGTAACTTGCCAAGTAATATACAAATATTAGACGTATATCGAGTAGCATCATTTCTAGAAAATACTCGATGAAATAATAAAATTGTATATATTTGTGAATTAAATTTTTGAATTAATTTTTATTTCAATTAAGAAATAAAAATAACAATTGACCTGGAAGCATTTTTTTATAAATTTTTCAATGGTTTGTGTTGTTTTTAATATTTGATATATTTAACACTGTTAAGACATTTACATATTCGATACAAATGAAGTAATTATCAAAAAATTGACAAGTATGGTTTTGTGTCACAAAGACTGCTATGAAGGTTTAAATAATTCTTATTGGGCCACGAAAAGAAAGAAATAAGAGATAATAAAGTAACAAAAATTTGGAAGATTTCGATAGGAAAACGTTTTTGCGTGTTGATAAAAATCAGCAGTTGCAGCTGCAAATCACATCGCTATAAACTAAACGAGGGATCGGTTATCCCCGGTTCTTTTCGTTCTTACCAATTCTATTGGTTCTAATGGCCGGGTCGGCCCTCACAAACCATTGGTGGCTCATCACTAAATATTTTTTGTTAACAGATAAAATCTTTTAAAATGCTTGTTTCATCCAAATCTAAACCAATCGAAAATGAGCACAAAATTCAGTGCGTTCAAATTAATGATTTAAGTATTTATACAAACATTAATCCAATTAGTTAGGTAATTGCCAAATAATGTACTTGTAGATCATGTAACGTTCTTTAACATTTTTATACATTTTAGTACAGAAATAGAAACTAATATAATATTATTTGTATAATTATTATTTGTAAAACTTTTAATCTAACTCATGTTGTCATATTTTTTCAAGAGAAAAAAAAAATTATAGTCATTTATTGTTATTCATTTGTTTATATACTTTTCTATGAAATAAATTTTAATTGTTATAGTTTATATAGAATATTTTAAGTTTTCTTTTGTTTTTTCTTTTTGTTTTTGCCAAAATTTGAAAACCGGTTTAACCGTTATAAATAATCTAATGAAAATGGAAAATAGTAAAAAAAAATCTAATTTACAAAAATTATGCATACTATACACTTAAAACACACTATTGCTAATATGTAAGAATTTGTTAAGCAGTTTCGATGTTGAAAAATAAATATATGTGCAAATTTGCAAAACTATGAATTTAAGGATTTAACCGGTTTTGTAACAAAGTTGAGATTCAAAAACCGTTCTAAATAGTGTCCGCACTAAACGCATAACTTTACTTTTTTTTCAATCAACTTGCAATAATTCTAAAGAAAAAATACTATAATTCTTTGTGTAGTCATGATTTCTATAGCTTATTCGTCAACACGATTCTAATGTTTTACTGGAATCTATGTATTACTCATTTTTTATTTCAATGAATATGAATGTGAATGAATCATTGGCGATTATTACACAATTTATGTTTTTTTCCTGTATTTGATCGTCAGACCCATAGAAATTGACGATTTAAACGATAAAATTAAATTTGTATATTATTTTATAATCAAATCTTTGTTTAAACAAGTTATAAACTTGTATATATACATTGAATTTTCAATGTTGAAATGTACAATTCTATATTGTTTTTATGTTGAAAATCCTTTCCTGTGCGTTTCTTTGCATACTTTTCGTTTTACACGGTTTTACATTCAAACAGTTACAATTTCGATTTACATTTTTTTTTCTCTTGAAACAATTAAAGAAATTAATATGAATTTACAAGATAATGTAGAAATATATTCAATAGAAAAGACCTTTTTTTTAGTGGAAAATCTATCTGAAATTAATAAATTTCTTTCTTTAATAATATATCATTAATAATCAAAGTTAGTAGCAAACAAAAAAAAGTTTATAGAAATAACTTTGATTAAAATTGGTTGACATATATGAATGTTATGTTGTGAGGATACTTGTAACTTCTTATAAATAGTTATCATACATTTCATATTGAAGCAAACATTAGATTAGTCTATTAATCTTATTAATCTCTGTCACAGGAACCTGGCAAGTTTATTTTTCCTTCAAAATGTTCGAAAAAGAAAATCAAAATACAAATATAGATAGTTCCCACGTTTGCGTAACTTATCTGCAAATACAAACATAGATTATTTACAGAACAAAATAAAATAGGGTTAAACGAAACGCGAAAACTGGCGGATTTGCAGCGCGCGCGAATTTGAATATGCCGGAATGTAAACACGAGAAAGTCGAAACGAACGCGCACACAAAATGCACTCGAGCTGTGTATCTACAACTCACATATCTAGACGACAAACACAGATAATACATATATGTCTCACTTACACCACATCCTTCGAAACCGTTTTTTTGTTATTTCACTTCTTTTTTTTACATTAAATACACAATCTTCCAAGACGTAAGCTTTTACAAACAACAGAGAAACGGACTTCTTAAACTCTAATCTTGGATTATTCGATAGTCGCAGCGGAGCAAAAGAAAATAACGTCTTCGAAACTGTTAAAAAAAAGACTAAACGCTCCGAAAGAACTGATCGCACAAAGAAGACGAAGAATAAAAAAAAAGGAATGCATGTTTCGCTGATGACAGTAAAGTTTTTTTTTTGTTTATTATTATCATTTTCTTTCGTAGTTGCAACAAGTGGGTTGATCAAGTTGATCAAATTACGCGACTTTATACACCTCAGTGAAAATAATACGGTGTTATTTTCATCGCACCTTGTATTTTTTTGTTGTACGGTGCAAATATCGTAATTACTAAAAAGAATGTATTTTTTTCTCGGTTTATATTTGCAGACAATCTTTTTCCTTCATTTTCCATTTAGAAATTAATTGATTGCTTGTTAATTATTATATTTTTTTTTAATTAATCATTTGGTTTTAACTGCTGTGCGTTATTTTGTATAAACCAAGGAAAAAGTGAAGGAAATAATGATGACTCACGTGCAACTTCAATTACTTCAACACTTTATCACATTTATAATTGCTGTGCTGTATTATTCATGTTATTAATAAATAACATTGAAGGATACAACTTTATAACAATTTTCAAAAAAAAAATCTAATAATTTTCTTGATAATTATTGCATTCATTGCAACATTAATTACGGTTTTTTTGTAGAATAGTGTTTTCCATTTCTTGTATCTAATAATTTATGGGATTGTAAACGATAACATTTTCGAGGTTTCCGTCTTTACTGATCATTAATTTTCAACACTTTCAATCATAGTTATGATTTCATTAACAAATCTAGAATTCCAATCTTTCAAATTGAATTATTACGTAATTAGCGTATTACAAATACGTTAATTATGGGTTTATAAACAAATTTACTATACTCGCACCAGTTTTACTACATTTAACGATCGTAACTAAAATAACTGCTAAACTTGAAATTTTGGGAAGGGAAACCGGACTGTAGTGAATCCGCACTGATCAAAGCCGCACTATGTTGTATATTGTTTAAATATTAATTAATTTAATTAACTTAAATAATTATTAATAATACAAACAAACAGAAGTTTGAAATGAAAACCGCATTAATCATGCAATTTATTAAATATTATTTTTATTGATATAAATATTAAGTGTGCATTTTGAAATTATGAAACTTCATGTCTATTGTTTCAATAAAGGAGATGAGTCATGCTTCTCACAATATCTTTGTTTAAGAATGGATATTGAGAACAATATGTGTAATAGAGCTTCAATGTTTAATTATGTCGTATTTAGTTTACAATCAACACAAGATTCGATGTATTTCTTTAGAAAATTGTTATGAGATGAGAATGTAAGTCATATTTTTGTAAATAAATTTTAGTTAGATTTGTGATAAAGTAATAAAGTTGTCATGTAATTAAAATTAAGATTTTATAAACGAACAAACAAAAAACTTGAAACTTACCCGGGATTATTGAAATTCAAACTTAAATCCATGTCACTACAATGCTTCGAACTTTGTTTCAAAAGATGCAAAAAAATTCAGTAAAAAAATCTGTTGATTTTCTTCATTGGCTTTCTCTCGGAGACCCGGTCTACGATTGTGTCCCAAACCCTACTGAGAATTACAACAATTGCTGAGGTTACGTACCCCGAGTAAAGAAAGAAAGAAAAAATCCTACCGCATCGAAGTTTTTCTCGTAATCTTATCGTAAACCAAACGAAACCACAAAAATATCCGGTTTTCGCCCTTTCTACATAACAAACATAACTGTGCGTCCTTTTTACGACCTGCTAATTTTTAAGCACTTACAAACCCCCCGAAAAAAGAGAAGAAATGCACCCAAAAATGGTTTGTTCGAAGCACCAAACCCGAATGACGAAAAATACGGTGCGTAAAGGAAACGAAATGGAAAGGAGAGAGGAGAGTTTTAAATGTGTTAAATGATGGAATGCGTTCGGAGCGGGTCCAATTTTGTTGGAAAGAGAGAAAAAAAACGAAATAATTATAAACTGTGGGACCTCAATTAATCCGAATTATCCGGACGATAAAGCTAATTGAGCGAGAGACACTGCACTTATTAAGAGTCTTAATAAACGGGGAGCGCGCGCGTACGACCTCTGCTCGTTCGCTTCTTGCTGCGGTTTTGTATTGTTCTTTTACCCGAAACATGCTACAAACAAACTGAAATTGTGTGAAGTAATGCTGGTAGTTATATATGTGAGGATTGTAATACTTGCAATGTGCATGAAACTCGATACGCGTATATTTTCAATATAAAAATCGTCACCAGCGGCGCGCCACATGCTCAGCAGCTGAAAAATGCAGACTGGATGACATCCAGAAGATATGCTCAACGCTTTTTCGTGTGCACGTTGTTGTACGATGGGAACTTTCGCGCAATAAAACTGGAACTGTTTTGTTTATTGTTTAGGGAAAGGCTAATGATCCATTCGACACCGTTCCATATATACTATAATTCAACTATAAATACATGAACCAATTCGGTGTTTGTTTGTTACCACCAACCATCGCTCTGTCATATGGATGGTCCAAGATGTTGTGTGTGTGTATGAAGACGGTGCGACTTAATCTCGGGACAACGTCCTCCTCAATTTCAACATAATTAACTACATGATTAATTTAAGTATTAGTTCTCAGCAGCTACACGCCGCATTTAATACATCGCCACAACATTCGACACTAATTTATTTGCTCTACCATCTCATTATTCAAAGATAAGTGACTAACAGTTTGAAGTATGTGTACATTACTCAAATTAACTGATTCTAAATGTAATCTTTAAAAAAAAATAATCGTGTCTATAAACTTTTATATTAATTTAATTTTTAGATTAATAATTATAGATCATTAATATATAAAAAAAAATATGAACAATTCATGTATTTCCCTATAATTTCTTCATGTAATGCTGCATCCACACTATGCATTATACGAGACATAATTATCTGTCAAATTTAACAGCAATGATTGACACTTAAACTGAATCGAAAGCTGTCATTACTCATAGAGGTTGGTTAATGTCGCAATGTTAAACAAGTTATAAACTTGTATATATACATTGAATTTTCAATGTTGAAATGTACAATTCTATATTGTTTAGGACAAAAACAAATTAAACAGTAAATCTTGAAAATATCCCTCGTTTTACACGATACTTTCTTATCACGTTTTCGCTTTTACGCGGTTTACAAAAAATTGAATTACATAATAAATGTTGAAAGTCCTATCTTGTGCGTTTTTTTGCATATGTTTCGATTTACACATCTTTATCTTTAAAAAAAAAATAATCGTGTCTATAAACTTTTATATTAATTTAATTTTTAGATTAATAATTATAGATTAATCATTAATATATAAAAAAAAATATGAACAATTCATGTATTTCCCTATAATTTCTTCATGTAATGCTGCATCCACACTATGCATTATACGAGACATAATTATCTGTCAAATTTAACAGCAATGATTGACACTTAAACTGAATCGAAAGCTGTCATTACTCATAGAGGTTGGTTCATGTCGCATGTCAAATATATTGTGAATACAGCATAAATTAACTTATCTTTCCAATTACACTTTGATCTTATCCATTAGGGCCCTTATTTTGTATATTTCTAATGAATAATGCTATCCAATACGGCACTTAATAAATAAGAAGTAATTCCAATTATCAATTTTGAAACTGTTTTTACTTCAAGTAAATTAGTTTTAAAACTGTTATTATTCCCTGAAAGTGATTTTCTCTCAACTACTATTTCCTTGTCATCTAATGGTTTTTCTAAGACAGAATCAGACCTTAGTTTTTCGTGTCTCATACCAATTTCCCCCCAAATTTATAGTTTCTAAGAATATAATATAAATATTTTGCATAACAACTACAAATACTACTATTTTAATTATATATAAGATAATTGCAACTAATTAATGTCTTTCGAGTAAATTTAATTGGCACATAACAAATTACAGTCTTCCAACTTAAATTAGAAGAAGTCATTTAATCTGTGAAATACAATAGAAAAGTAATTAATTAATTAATTTTCTTTTGAACCATTTAATACTTCTATTAGTGTATACATGTAAACTTAATCACAAAGTATTAACAAAATATTAAAAAAAAATCTCAGAAAAATATTCTTAATTACAAATTTTATAATTTCTTTAGTTAAACAAATCCGATTTTTAAATTAAATTTATGCACCCTATTTCTTTTTATTATTATTTTTTATTCATTCTGTTGATATGTTAATCCGCTTCCTGGCTTCAGTTTCATTGTATTACAAAGAGAATAAATCGGGAAGTTTATAGGACAAACCAAAATAATAGCAGATGTAAATTGATTTTGTGACCTTGCATAATACTTAATTCATTAAAGAAATCTACAGTCTCAACAAAAAAAAGCAATTAAGAAAAATAATATCATGTTTATGCAACCCAAATTGATCATTAATCGTCATACAAAATCAATATCGTAGATTTCCAATTATTTAATTTAATTGAAAACATAATTGTTATTTGATTCTTTTAGAATTTAGATTAAAAAAAGTAATAAATGTTTAATAACTGGCAAATTGACAGCTGTCACCTTGACACAAGGACCTCTTAGCAATGGGTATAACTACGCTCAGAAAAAGGTTGAGAAACGCTGATAAAAGTTATCAAACATAAATAAATACTATAAATAATACAAATACAAAAAAACAACATGGAAATAAAATATTTTGAAAATTGGGTCATAAGGAAGTGTTTTTTTTGTTACCTGTTCAAAACATCCGAAGCGCGATTAGTTCAAATATCCTTGAAAATAGTATTTGTTTATTACATAAAAAAAACAAAACATTTCATTTAAACAATGCTAATGTGAAGGTCACCCACGTGTTTCAATTTTGTCTGATCAAATTTCACCAAATTCAGAATGTTATTAAGAAATCTATTATATGTAAACTTACAAATTCGTATAGTTTACTAAAATTCATTATTTTTAACAAATGGGAAAACATGAAACCACAAAACTTCAATTAAGTCATCATTATTTTAATATAGATAATAATGATTCGTCACAATTAAAGAATAACAATAATGTAGGAATTGAATGATTCATGTTAGATTATTAACAATAATATTTAATTATTTCAATTACTACATAAAGTTACTTTCACCAATGTGAGAGTAATCAAATTACAATACAAGCGCCAGTATTATAATTTAAAAAAAAACAGACTAGTCCTTGTTCATCAAGTTCTCAGATATGTCGAACAATTAAGGAAACTGATCCGAAAAGCAGTGTTTTTTCTGGTAAGGTTTTCATTTTGGCGACGAATCAAGTGTGGGTATTAAGTTACACGTTGAGGGCAAACGATAACCGAGAAAAAAAAAGAGGGAGAAGGACCGAAAACAGTGAAAACCACGTCCATTAATTTCGAACTAATCATATCACAAAAATTCTAGGAATTCTTAATAAAGTACACCAAAATATTAGGCTAAGATTAAGCATACAAAAACGTAAAATTTCAATAATAATCATTAAATACTTTTGGTAATATTTATTTAATTGAAAATTAACTCACGTTTAAATATCATAGATTTTTCTGAAAAAAAATATTTTGACAAACAAAGAAAGAAAGTTATTCCCGGTAAAAATATACATTAGTAATGTAGAAAACAACAATTTCGTTATTGAAATAAAATCATAAGAGAAAGAAAAAAAACAATGAAAAATGTAATATAAAACGAAACATTTGCTATCAAGAAACCATAAAATGTAAACCACTAACCTCGTAATTCGGAAGAACTGATAAACGGAAACAGGACAGACGTATAAGAAAAGCGTACAATTGGTGAAAGGTTCCCCAAATCCGGGATTATTCAAAGTGCGGTTTTAATGGAAATTAATTGGAGCAGCAAACCAATGCAATTTTTTTTGGTGGAATTTTTAATGCACGTAATGAGAGGAATAAATTACGAATTTGCTTTACTTAAATGTACTTTTAACGACAATTATGTGGGGCACATAACTATCCAAACAACGTTTAACATAATTTAATGCGCCTTTGCTTAATCTAATTAAAATATTTCAATTAATTCAAAACCATTTTAAGTAATTTATAAATTATATTGTTTTAGAAATTGACACAAATCTCATATATTTTTTTGTGAATAAAAACATTAACGTGTTGCAAATATTATAGTTTATAATCATAATTTATTAATATTCTCAGGATGTAGTGAATTGAATAGGTGGGCAAAGATTGACTATGCATGTGAGCTAATTGTTACGATGAATATGAATGATTTCGTTTGATTTGCTAATGATGGAAGCAAACGCTCCATTTGAAACGTAAACTAATTATCTTTGCTTGTTTATTAGCTGCGCAATACACTTTGAAGATTATCCAAATAATTTATGTTCATGTGTGTCACAATTCGAAGTAGTTGCAGTCCAATAGACTTATTCAGTTTCATTTAATTTTGTTTTCAGACTTAATTCCTATATATAAAATTATAAAATTTAATCTTAAAAATTGTGATAGGAAATCCAATTCTTATGAATATCTTTCCAAATTAATGAAAAAAAAAACTAGTTTAAAATTTTATTTGAGACAACAAGATGATAAGAAAGTTATTTTCGTTCACACACAAGTAAGCTAAAACAAATTATCAAAGTTAATATGAAAACAAAATCAATTGACACGAATCTGTGATCACTCGTCATTACTTAACAGTTACAACAAGTGATTCATAAGAATTGATTTTGTTTTCACATTAGCCTTCTTAGAATATCAATTCAACTTCATACGTTTGAGTAAATATAATTTCTCAGTTTATTTTCAAAAATTTTAATTCAAGTTTCAGGCACAAAATCTGAAATACGTTTTAGAAAATAAGGCAAAACAAGTATTCAAATTTCTTTTTACTAATAAAAAATTGTAGTAAAAGTTTATATTTTTGATTTGCTAACGATATTTTACCATAGCGTTACGTGAATTGATTCTGTTAGCACTTGATTATACAGCGAATATATAAATATATTATTTGTCAATTATATTTACATTGAGTTATGTTTATTTGCACAGACAAAAAGTTTAAAAATGTAATTATAAGTTTATAATTAAAAAAAAATAAAGATTTAATTAAATCAAACTGATTCAATTTAAAATTAATTACATTGATTGA